GCACCTATCCCAACAGATTTAAACACAAACCTGCTGTTGAACTTTGATGGGTTGTGCACAAGTATAGATATTGTAGCAGGTTGAAATTCTGCATAACTTGGGTTGCACTGAACATATGCAACTAGCCAAACATGTATACTATGTACATTGCAGGTTAACTGAGAAAACCTCCATTAGGTAACCCTCCCAGCTTTGCTTCTTCCACAGAATTGTGATAATTGTACCATGGCTGTACATGTACATACTGTACAAGTACCACAGTGTCTTGTGTGAGCACAACCACACCCCTGTACATGTACATTCCTGCCGATGAAATCTCAAACAGAAATCCTATACCCATCTCCTTTCCCACTTCCCTGTTTGTTGCATGAAAAACCACCTTTCTAAAGATGAATGGGACCCTACTTGGAAACGGTCGCACTTAAGACCTCCATTTGGAATGACAATAAAGTTGAATTTATTTCCCAGGAAAAAAGTGTCCTTGAGATAATGTTGCACACCCTTCATACATGTTGATGTAATGTCTTTATGCACACCTATTGAAATATAAGTGATCCTTGAGTACATTTATAAGCATTTAACCATCTTTGAAATGTTAGAATCATTCCACTAGAAAAGGTACATGTCAATGCACGATCCAAAATTGAAATTTTCCTTCCTCCATGGGCTCTTGTTGTGAAGGCCTTATCAAAACCTGTCCTTTAAACTTTACGCTAGGTTAAATTTGCTTAAGAGTCAAAGTTCGTTTTGAACAATGCATACTTCCTCGATGAGCTAGCCTTCCACCACTGGTTCAATAAGCTACCAAGGCTGCAACCAGGCACCAGGAAGTAATAAGAGCAAAAAATACTGCCGGAACTACTTGATCACTCTTTCAACCAATCAAAACTGGCCAAGTATGGGTGTGTTCAGCAGGTCAGATTTTTTTGGTCCCTCAGAGTGTTGGTGACTTGGGGCACTATTTTTTAATTAAATTGTTGAAAAAAAGGCTTCCAAGAATACAAGAACACGGCATGGGAATTTGAAAGTGATACATAATTATGCTAATTTATGCAAGTTCTATAACAAAGTTAAATGGATTAAACTGAAACAGTTTCAGGGATTACTTTTTTTTAAAGAGAACTTGGCCTTCATGCAACTTTTTATGAAAACAGTGACATTAACATATTGCCGGAACTACTTTAAATCACCAACTCTATGACATCATGCATTTTTTTTGGGTCTATAAGTCGTGTCGGAATTACTCGACTATGGCTGCAGGTAACACACGGGTCTATGGGAAAGGCTGCAGCCGCTTCCATAGGCGCGTGTGTAATCTCCAGCCGCAGCCAAATAAGTCAGACGCGGCTTTTAAGTACCTTGTACTGCACTAGGAAATCAAGGCTATCTGAAGGCAAGATTTGTTGCATATTTTTCCAGGAAAAAAACCTTGAAAATGTTAAAATAAAAGTTAACAAGGGGAAATATAATCCTTATTTAATTTATAACTTCAAGGCAATAATATTTTTAAATTGGCACAGACGTGTCTTTTAATGAAATTGGAGTATAGCAGCTTGAATAAAGTGGAATAAAAAATGATGTTTAAAAAAAAAAAAAAATTCTTCAAAATTTATGTATGACATGCAAGAACTAAAGGTACACAACTATGACTTCACCGGTAAAGCATGCATCATGTAAATACTATATGCATCTAGGTAGATTCGATTACATTGCACTCTGGAATCAAATTAACTATGCAATGTTATCCGCAGCAGGAATAAGTTTACATCGGATAGAAGATTTTTCCCCGAGGCTTTTTACACTTTTCCTCTTCTAAGAAGATAATGAAATTTACATCTTATTTACGTGTACTTGAGTTGCAGAATTGCCAACCTTTCATGTGTACAGTATTTGTGAAGTTTTTTTTAATGTAATCCAGATATTTAGCAGGAGTATCGTCACTAAATAAACTTTTTTTTCTCCAGAAATTCTTTTCGGTAGCTTGAATTTGTTTATTTTGATTATCATTAAATACATCAGTTTATTATATTTTTTTGTAGTTATTCATTCAAATGTACTTCCTAATTTTTTACTTGTTTGGTAATCAATTTTGCCTTTGATAAAGATTCTGTTACGATCAAAAGATTAGTCCATCTATTTTTTATTAGTAAAATATTTCATGTAATTTCAAAATTAAAACAGCTCAGGCATTTATTTTTTATTTTATTCTTTTTTTTTGGGGGGGGGGGGGGAAGTTGCATCGCTATGTGAGATGACTCATGAGTTACAAATCTTGGAACCTCAAGCTTATAGGTCCAAGTACATGTATCTTTCAACGGTTTTTACTATTGGTGCAGTGTGCCCTGTCAAACCAGAGAGCAAACCAGAGAACGAACCGCAGAGCAGACTCCCCAGTGTCTAATTACCTGGACCATGGGGAGACGCCATATGTCACTTAGATCTCGGACAGATACAAATATGCATGTGTGTGGATACAACAACGTTCGCTACACTGTGAGTCACCTGATTAGTTTGTCAGAAGTTAACGAGCATAGACAGTGGACTGGCCATGAAGCGACAATTGCAGAAAATTGAATCGTTTGCTGATTAGAATAATGCATTGGGCAGCAAAGAGAAATGTCAATTATTTTATTTTTTTTCACTTCAATAGATTTTTTTTTCTGTTTTGGGCATAAAACAGCCAAGTTCTGGGAAGTCACTCAAATAATAGGGACAAATCCAAGCTTTACAATTCCCTGCAGTGTTTTTCAATTTGTAATGGCATAAAAGAAAACTTGGGTTTAAAAAAAAAAGGGGGAAATCTGCTGATCCGAGGAAAAGTTGCATGCCTGAATTAATGTTGCACACCCCATGTGCTTCACAAAATATGATTTGTTTTCTCACAACAAACTTTCAATTGGTACGTTTTATTTTCACCTAATGAAATTTCAGTTTGCAAGTTTCGTTTTCATTTAACAAACTTTCAATACTTTCAATGTTCTGTTTTAACTTAAAAAAATGATATATTCCGATGCATACATTTGAAAAATGACTTTCATTTGCGCACAAATTAACCCACACTGCGAGAGCCGAAATATCATCTGGCAGCTAATAATTTGAAAATTGTGAAGAAATAATTTCAATTTTTAACAACTAAAAGTTGGTGGATTTTTTTCGTTCAATATCTCATTCAAAGGTGAATAACTTTTATATTGCTAGGCAAACCAGCAATATGAAAAAAAAACTAATAAATTTTTCGAGGTGAAAAATAGATTCATATTTTTCAAGGTGAAATTCCAAATGGCCCACATTGTTTTAGAGAATTCAGGAAGTGACGGAGTATATTCCAAGGATGACAAATATTGACCACAAATATTAACACAATGGTGTGACTCATGTACTGGTATTGACAAATGAACACATAAAGGACAGTCCTTATCAGAAGATATATCCTGAGAACAAACAGGCCTTGGTTGCTGTTTTGTGTATTTTTTTCTGAGTATTAGTGTTATCAGGAGGGTTTGCTTACATTGTAAGTACAAGGTGATTTGACTGATAAAATGAAGGGAATAAATAAACTACAGAACCACAGGATGTTAGTGGCATTGAAAGAGAAAATGAAACATAAAGAAGTCTGCACAGTAACAAAACTTGTAGATAACGTGTATCAAATTTTGGAAACAAAGTAGTTCCGTGAACACATGATTGGCTTATTAAGCAACATACTGCTATCAGGAGTCTCAACTTTGGAGAAATCTGAATTGTTGGAAAACCCCTCATTGTTGCAATTTGTTTCCCTTTAATGAGGCAATCTCTTTGAATATCTATCATTATGAAGATAAAAAAAAGGTCATTTTACAAATTTTTCCCCATCCCTGTTACATCTGAAATCTATGATTTTATAATTCTGATGCACTTCTTAAAATGCAGTCGTCCTCTGAGTGTGATTATGAATAGCAAACTACCTACCCAAGTAACAAAAATTGTCTGAAGTCATTCTTAACCCAAACCCCTTGAGTGATTTACTAGGAACCTTCCTCACTCTCGCAAATTCCAACACCATACGGTAAACTCAACACCCAAACTGTTGGACTCTGATTATGGTGGTATGCCTAACCCCATGTAAAGCATAATCAGTTTACTAGTGCAGTACTCATCCTAACAGATTCCAACAAACCCTGGTGTTGGAGTTTGACTGGATGGGGATTGTTAGTGTTAATGATTCTTAAATGGCAAATTACAATTTACTTAGGTAACAGGGACAGGAAAAAAATGTCACACTTTGGACTCTACATTTATAGAAAGACCCAAATGCATTAACAATAATCGTTCAACTAATGGCACTTATGACGGAATTATCACTCCATGAGGTACTCAGAAAAACTGGGGTAATGGCCTTTACTGCACTGTGCCATCGAGATAATGCACCTTATCATGCTGATAAACTATTAGCAAGACTGACAGCGCCCATTTCATTCTTAAAGCCTTTCCACCGTGATGCTCAACTCAAAATCTGCTCACCGCAAGTCTGCAATATGTTGAACTCCAGATGAGTTGAATTACAGTTTAAGTAGATAAACTTTTGTATTCATACCTAAATTTTGATGTAAATTAACCTTCCCAAAGTTATTTCAACTCAGTTTGTGTTCACACTACAGTCTTCTACCCGGGTTAAATTTATTCAACAAAAGACCCTTGATATTTACTTTGTCCATAGTGAACAAAATTAAAGAGCAATTTTTATCTCTGACGGAGATGATGGTTTTCCTGTGAGAGTGTTATAATTTTCGTTATGAACATGAAGTAATGTGCGTGTTCTACATAACCCCCGAGGACCGACACACAAAGGGAGAACGACAGATCCTTTTAGTCCTCGGGAGTTGGGTCTTTTTTTGGAAACGGTCCTCTGTAGTAAGTTTGTGTGCTTAGTCTATGGGAGAGTGTTACATTACAGGGACAAAGGGAAACACAAAGCATTGTCCTCACGAGTGTAGAAAACAAGAGTGTCTGAGGTATCTTACCTGTGTGTGGAGAGCTACGGAGGCCCGGCCGGCGTATTGTGCCATGCGGTGACGGATATTCATGTGATTGCACATTGTCTGGGTGAACAAAATAAAACAGTCATGAACTAATCGTCGTTACTCGCAGCAGAAGCTGAATTGCGAAGGATTCAGCTACAACGTAGTCAAGCCAAAGGTATGTTAAGGTGCTAGTGTCAAAGGTTATGGACTTAAGGTAAAGGAGTTTAGGAGTTGAAGGCTTACCTGTACGTTCTGTTTATCCAATAGTGATGGGTAGGACTGGTCTGCATGGATGGCTACAGCCAAAGCTCGATGAACCAAGATATCGGAGTATCTACACAGATAGAGAGAATGAAAAATTCAGTTGTCAACTTTGGTCTTCTGTGTTAGTGATTCAATACCATTAATTACAATTATATGTCGGCGAAGGGCAAAACTAATATTGGTTTACATCACCCCGACGCAAAATTCCATCAACATGAACAGTGATTGCGGTACCCGCTGCTACATGTACATCAGATTCCAACCAGCCAACCAATCCCGCAAGCTCGGTGGTTGAGTGGTAAGACTGCACTAGAAAGCAGGAGGTCGTGGGTTCGAGTCTAACCCGAGTGATTTTTTTCCAACTTTCACTCATGAGGTAACACACTGAGTATACAGTGTTTATACGTCAGTGGAGGGCAAAACCTAATTGAATTAATAACAATGTTATGATTATGGAAGGCTAAATTCTGAACTAAGGAAAAGTGAGTATTTTCAGTAAACCAATCTTCAATTTGAAAACCCTGGTAAATTAGCAGTGTTGTAGTAAAGGTACGATAAACCACTTGTGCATCACAAGCCTAGACACAAGTCCATCACAAGTCAATTCCCGAGCCTAGTCACATATCATCACAAGTCAATTCATAAATCTAGTAATAAGCAAAGCAAGAGTCAATTCACAAGTCTAGAACAAGCAACACAATAACAAAATGCCTTTGTCACAGTCATTTGAAAAACTTGTTAGTTGACTTAGAACTAGATGACTTGCAATGGACTTGTGATGGACTTGTGATGGACTTGTGATGGACTTGTGGTGGACTTGTGGTGGACTTGTGATGGACTTGTGGCGGACATGTGATGGACTTGCAATGGACTTGTGATGGACTTGTGACTGGACTTGTGATGGACTTGTGATGGACTTGTGACTGGACTTGTGATGGACTTGTGATGGACTTGTGGCGGACATGTGATGGACTTGCAATGGACTTGTGATGGACTTGTGACTGGACTTGTGATGGACTTGTGATGGACTTGTGGCGGACATGTGATGGACTTGCAATGGACTTGTGATGGACTTGTGACTGGACTTGTGACGGACTTGTGATGGACTTGTGATGGACTTGTGATGGACTTGTGGTGGACTTGTGATGACCTGTAATCCATTACAAGTACCTCTGCTGCAACACTGTTAACTGGAAGAGGCAAAACCAGTTTCTTACCTTCTAATTGGCGAGGTGAAGTGCGTATAGATGGGCGCAGCCAACCCGTAATGGAAGAAATCCTCGAAGGGGAGGGTACCACTGCTGAAGTACAGTGCCTGGGTCATACAGCGCGTGGTCATCATTCGGAGGAGATTGTTGAAGAATGGTTCGTCTGGTATGACCGCCTTGTCTAGGGACTGGGCCAGGGCATGGCCGCTGTCTACTTCAAGCTCCACGCCCTGCAATGATTAAATTATTTTGAAAGATTTTGACAAACCTCACATTTCTATTTTTTTGCTTCTATAGCGCTCTCTCCCTGATAAAATTAAAGATTAAAACTTTCAACATGGCAGATCCGATGATACATCAATCTAATGACCATAATTAGGTCAATAGCTCAGGGTAAAAAGTGCATTCATTTCCCTACTGCACAGGGGGAGTCCAAAAAAGCGAAACCCAAATGTCGGGACTATTATTTGAGTGAAGTTCTGCATCTAGCACTTTCAAAATCTAGGATATGAAAGCCCAATTCATAATCTTTCTTTTAGTGTAAGAATCATTCAAATCACTCATATACTTTTCAAGTTATGGAATTTTAAACACAACCACCGTTTTAAAGTTCTGTCCACGGATCACAAGAAGGCAAGTGTTCTTTCAGCAAAACAAAAACAGTTCACATAGGGATGCTTGTGAATTGTTTTTATTTTGCTGAAAGAACCGCACCTTTTTTGTGCTCCGTGGACAGAACTTTAAAACGGTGGTTTTGTTTATAAAATTCTGTAACTTGAAAAGTACATAAGTGATTTGAATGATTCTTGTACTAAAAGAAAGCTTATGAATTGGGCTTTCATATCCTAGATTTTGAAAGTGCTACATGCAGAACTTCACTAAAACAATAATCCCGACATTTGGGTTTCGCTTTTTTTGACTCACCCTGTACTGCAAAATGGCACTTGCTGACTTAAGCTCATTTTGTGGTAACAGATTACATATGTTGAGAAAAAATCATGGAGGTACCAGTCGCTGGCAATACGTTCAGATGGACATTTTGCCCGGTAATCTGTTTTTCGCTAAACAAATTTTTTACAAGTGCTTACCTTTGCAAGAGCTGCTTTGATGACGGGTTCATAGCTAGATGGGGAGGGCGTGGGGTGGCGTCGCAGCGTGGCACATTGGGGGAACTCCTCATGAATCTTCTTGGCTACCGAGATGTTGGCCAGCAACATGAACTCTTCTACCATGGAGTTGGTCTCTCTGAAACAGAATAAAAAACAGTTCACAATAAATGTAAGAAAAAAGCTGTTGTAAACTGCTTATCAAGAGAAGTATGTAAATCTTAAATGTCACCTGGCTGGCATTTCGATCGCAAAATGCCTTTGACAAAGATTCTGCTATGATCAAAATGTCAGGCCTCAATTTTTTTACTGAATTTGAAAATTGACTTGATTTACACAGAAGAAACCCCCCCATAAAAAAAACAATACAGAATATATTTCATTGACTCAATGAGAGTCACAAATAAAACAACACAGAATTATTGAAGTAAACTGAAGTGAAGTCAACAAATTTTGTATAAGCTCTATATATTTTTTTTTGCAACGATCTTGTCATGATCTAGGGAACAACAAGCTTACCTCATCTCCTTCTGCTGTACTTCGATGGGGTCGTGCGTTTCGCTGTCCATGCTGAAGCGAATCTCTGGCGATGCTAGAACAAGTGCCCTGGGGAAAAAAGACAGGAAATGTACAAAAAAACTTTTAACTTACGATAACTTATAATGCAATCTGCTTTGAAATGCACAAATTATTTAGCAAAATGCACAAACCAATCCTTTGCTGGACAAATAGATTTGTTTAACACCTTTAACGGTAGAGTACATCATTTGTACATTGTTTTCGTTGAAGCAACAAAAGTGCTCAAAATCTAAAGAAGGGTGTTTAACAACTAACCTGATAAACTTTTAGCTCAGTGAATGCTGTATATTCCGAGAGAACAACATTCAGGGATCTCGATTTCAATTCAAAAGTTGCTGAGTCATGTTTTGAATTTCGCCCGAAATCAGCGTCTGAGATGCATTCTCATTCAGCCGATTGCAGCTATGCGATGTCACGCGCTGAACCGACAAATTATAGCAACCGCGCGCATGTGCGTCATGTCAATGCTTGCGCGCACCCATTCACGTCTTCGCCAAATTAAAACAGAAAGTTCCAAAAATGCGTCTTTCACAGGGTGTTTAGTGCCATTACTAACTTTAAATCAAGTATGCTTTTCAACAATAATTTGGTCAGTTACTTTTTGGATAGCTGCAAATGATCTACTCTTACCTTTAAGCTGCAAGTGATTTCAGTTAAAAACAGGTACACACGCATACATTAGTGCACACTTAAAAAAAATCTGACAGAGATCAAGAAAATAGTTGCAAGCTCAGTCGTTAAAATTTTGATCAGATATTGAAATTAGAAATAACAGGAAAACACTGACATTGCAAGGAAAACTTGAAGTCTTCCAAATCTACTCATGATTATTCTTATATCAAACAGTGGTTATGGGTAAAACATTTCCATACCCGTTGTCCAAGCGCTTCTGTTTGAGTATCTTGGCCAGTCGGTTCAGTCCTCTCAAACCCAGGGTGACGTTGTCATTCATGGACTTGTCGTCAATCCTCAACTGTGCTTCCTCATAGGTAAATGCTGCCTGTAACGTCACAACCCAATTTTAAATGTTTCTCTAAAATGGTGATAAAAATGTACTCTTTCAGTTTTGTGGCTCACAACGATTAAAAAAGAAAGACAATGGTGTTTGACTTTTGATTGCATTTTAAAATATTTAAGGATTATGACCAAACCATCGCACTTTCAACGGAAACCTATGCTTTTGCGTCAAGAAAAAATGAAAATGCATTTTCAGAGTTTTCTCAAAAAGTATATCTACTGAACTTAAACTTTGACAGGTTAGATTTATAAAAACCTGCTTTTAATTTATTGTATTGTTATTTGTAGATAAACTTGCGTCGGGGTGATGTAAATCAATATTAGGTTTTGCCCTTCACCGACGTATAAACACTGTATACTCAGTGTGTTACCTCCCGAGTGAAAGTTGGAAAAATCACTCGGGTGGGACTGGAACCCACAACCTCCTGCTTTCTAGTGCAGACGTCTTACCACACAACCACCGAGCTTGTGGGATCGGTTGGCTCGTTCAAATCCGACGTACATGTAGCATCGTGTACCGCAATTAAACTATTCATATAACATGAATTTGCGTAGGGGGGACGTAAATCAATATTAGGTTTATGCCTATCACAGACGTATAACACTTTATACTCAGTGTGCTCAGTTATTGTATTGTTGTTCCTAAGCTAATGAGTGTTGTTATTTAAGCGACGAAATCTCTTTTTTTGGCAAATGATGACCATTACCAAGTTTACAGTTGCAGCATGTAACAACTCTCTTTTGTGCCTTTGTCAGGTTCTGAAAAGAACTGGAGAAACCATGCAAATATTCAAATATTATCTTCCTTTACTTACCCTTGAGCATATGATACTCTTGGTGAACCTAGTGCTGACTATCTCGGCTTTGTGAGTCACCTCCCAGATGCAGGTGAAGGCAAATCGCTCCTCGTTACCCCGCAGTGAGCAGAGATTGGAGCTCAGCAACTCCGGCACCATGTCAATCCTCTGGGTACAAGAACGATAGTCACAACCTTAGTCCCTGAGATGCACTTTTAATCCTACACCGGTTTGCATGACCAACTTAGTAAGGCAAATGGCAAATGATTAACAAACACAACTAAATTTACTAAGGCCCAACAAAAAAAAGTCTCCGGTTTCTGGTATGTGCGCGCGTCGCCGTAGCCATGCGCGTCGGCAAAATGAAAAAGTTTTTTTTTCAATGAAAGATGATGTCTCAAAACCGCCAAACTCACTGGTTTGACTGGAATCCTGCTGCTGCACAATTTTAACGTGTTTTTAGATTGGGTTATGATCGAGAACAAGCTTTATGTGGCCTCTCTGGACTCCCATATATTTGCACTAAGTTTAGTCGGGCACCATTTGCAGTCATCAGCCGACATTTGAAGCAAAAAAATCAGGTAAAAAAAAAAAAAGCCGCGTCGCCGCACCGCTTTTTGGGCAAGCTCCATACCAAAAACCAGATACTTTTTTTTTTTAGCCTAATGCACAACTGCTGAAGATTTTCAAAAGCATTTATTTCATTAAAATACTTTGTCTGAGTTGAATTTGTTTTTTTAAGTTTTCTTACTTTATCCACAAGATACACTGTTGTACCTCTGTTGAAGGCTTCATCATCTAAGGCATTGCCAGGCCGAATGAAATGGGTCACATCAGCTATGTGCACGCCAACCTGAAATATAAAAGTAAACAGGTCGTATAACTGGGTTTTAAAACCCTGTATTTACGGAATCAACAGTACTTTCTAGAGTTGTTATCAAATCATTCAAAAGTCAATCATTAGTCGGTCACAGGTTAATCGTAAGTCACTCACAAGTCATTTATAAGTCACTCATGATGCACTTATGAGTCAACAACAAATCAATCATAGGTCACGCACAAGTTAATTAAAAGTTAATTTTAAGTCACTCACAAGTCAATCGTAAGTCACTTACAAGTCCATCATGAGTAACAAGTCAATCATAAGTCAGTCGCAAGTCACTCATAAATCACTAACGTCACTCATAAGTCACTCACAAGTCAATTATAAGTCAGTTATGTGCCAGTAACAAGTCAATCATAAGTCACTCATAAGTCAATCACATGAATCACAAGTCAATTACAAGTCAATCACAAGTCAGACACAAGTTAATCACAAGTCAATCATAAGTCACTCCCAAGTCACTCAGAATTCCCTCACAAGTCACTTACAAGTCAATCACAAGTCAGACACAAGTCAATCACAAGTCAATCACAAGTCAATCACAAGTCAATCACAAGTCAATCACAAGTCAATCACAAGTCAATCACAAACGAGACACAAGTCAATCACAAGTCAATCACAAGTCAGACACAAGTCAATCACAAACGAGACACAAGTCAATCACAAGTCAATCACAAGTCAGACACATGTCAATCACAAGTCAATTACAAGTCAATCACAAGTCAGACACAAGTCAATCACAAGTCAATCACAAGTCAATCACAAGTCAGACACAAGTCAGTCACAAGTCAATCACATGTCAATCACAAGTGCATCACAAGTCAATCACAAGTCAGACACAAGTCACTCACGATTCAATCACAAGTCAGACACAAGTCAATCACAAGTCAGACACAAGCCAATCAAAAGTCAATCACAAGTCAATCACAAGCCAGACACAAGTCATTCACAAGTCAGGCACAAGTCAGTCACAAGTCGATCACAAGCCAGTCACAAGTCAATCACAAGTCAGTCACAAGCCAGTCACAAGTCAATTGCAAGGTCACAAGTAGCAGGTGTATCTGCAGGATCCTCACCTCTAGGTTTCCATTGTCAAGTTCTCTACAGTGCAACGCATCGTCGATGTCTGTACATCCAGGCGGATCCACACTGCAGATATCCAGATGACGCAGGTCTTCCCGAACCTTCACATCCTTCAAGGCACAAAGAATTCTTTTAGTTGAAATAATGTGAAAAGCACTACTATATCAAAACTCAAAGCTTTACTGCAAAGCTTCTGAAGGGTCAAATGTAGCAAATTTTGGGTACGGTGGACGGTGAGGTACAGGGAGTGTCCAATTACTTTCTGTGATTTTATGATTCTTAGTCTGCGACTTTGTAAAATAAACTTAAGGATGCGTCTGAATTACTTGGCTATGGCTTAGAGGTACACACGTGCTTATGGTAGCGGCTACAGCCACTTCCCATAGACGCGCATGTTACTGAAGCCATAGCCAAGTCCATAGCTGCCAACATTTCAAAATCCCAATTAGTAATAAACCCGCGCGGTCATTTTCAACTGCTCGTTTTATCAAAAGCTTTACCAACATCGAGTACAGGTACATGGTTTACATGTACACATACATGTGCATACCCTTCTTGTTGTGAATAATAATGTACTGTAGGCCAAAAGATAATTTAAAAAAAAAAAAAAAAAATTAAAATTATTATTTTTTTTTTAATTAATTTTGTTTAAATGTCTGTATTTGTTTGTTGAAGTCAAATAAATAATAACATCAATAAAATGTGCGCATATTTTTTGGGAGATGCATGCTATTGATGTTAAGTTTCGAGTTCGTATCATGTTTTACACACAATGATCAATGGCCACCGTATGCAATAGAAATATCCCGCCAACATACCTTGCAAACGCATGCTGATTTATCTTTTCTGTCTGTTGTGACAAACTCAAACTCTATTACCAATTATTCCAACCATACTCTTATTAAATTCCATGATTAAAATCTCGCACTGATGGGTCTGATCCCAGCAATAAGCAACTAAATGTGCTCACGATCGTCACTGAAAAGTACTCACATACAGTACACACAACCACACATCCACGAGATGCACACAAATGACACACCATTGAAAAATATTTTTAGTCTGGTCCTCAAGTACTTTACTGCGCACACTGCATTGATGTCTATCAGGTGCTTGACTGCATTCTTATTAGACTTGTCACCAGTCCATCCATTATCGCGACATTTCGCAAGAAGTTTTTCGGTCAAAAACGATACTTTACATTTTTTTTTTTCGTTAGGTAGAAAATGGGAAATTCGTAATGTTTTTGTGGCAAATCGTATTTTCGTAATTTAACAAACAATTCGTAATAATTACGAAAAAATCGTACTAGTTGGCAGCTATGCAAGTCATTTGGACGCGGCTGTGCACGGGATCCTTCAGGGCTCTGTCATGTGTGTGAAAGTGCTACAGAAAAAAAGTACTGAGACAAGCTTTCAAATGCTTTGAAAAAAAGGAAAGACTTGAAGGAAAAGTTAAACAAGGAATGTAAAGTTCTCGATCATTGAGTACCTCTTCTGTGATTCCCCATGGCATCTTGGGAAGGAAACTGAGCACTGACTCGGAGAACGGCAGGTGGGGTACGTCGTGCTCCAGCAGCAGGACTTCATTCTCCGTGTCTCGGTCTCCGATCTCGCCAAGAAGACGGACAAAGTGACCCTGCGGGAAAAAATAAACCTATAAGATTTGAAAAATATGTTTTCCAATTTTTTCACTGGATTCTTCAATGCTCCGTCACGGACATCACATAACGCTGGAATTGCTCAGATATTTGGTGATTATCTTTTGTCCCTGTTTGAGTTATGTGCATTAAGTGACTGGACTCACCATGGGATACCTTGAGTTCCTCGGCCAGCTATCAATGCTCACAATGATCCTCTGTCCCTGTAGTGAGGCGGCCTGGCGGGTCTCGATGCGTATCTTGGGAATCTTCTTCTCTGCTGCCATGAAGAGATGGCGTGTACCCTGGGAGAAAAACGACTCACTTCAATACTTAAATTTCAGTTTGCGAAAAACCTACCGGTGAAACAATATCACAGAGATTTCAATATCAAAGAGAATTGCAACAGGATAAACAAATTCCTAAATACTGGTGAGAACATGCTATTCAATGAATACCTCCATGTTGTTGGACGGTTGTAAAACACCGCAGTAAGGCCTCCAGTTACGCTTGACAATCCCGACCACTTTCCCAGTCGGCTGAGAGTTTGCGGGTCGGCTGCTGTCCGAGTTCTCACCCTAGAAAGTACCAAAACAAAAAGTAACAATTTTTAAAATAGAAAAAAAACATTGTGTAATAAAAGACTTCCTGGTTTACATTTCTGATAAGCATGTTAGTGAGCTATCTTCAGTATAATTTTCAAATGGATCATTCTAGAAACTAAGGGTCCAAGGGGTAAAATTTTTCCCGTCCCTGTTACTTTGGTACTTTGTATTTGCTACTTAACCCCCTGCTATTTAAGCAGTCACGGACTGTCAGAATTCACTTCCTCTTCCCCTGCTATACTTTTAACAAAGGCTAGTCACCAGCAGTCAGATCATATGTCAAGCAAGCACTGTGACTAGTCAAACTGGGTCAACAGACAAAGCAGGCAAGTTGTAATCACAGCTGTTTTATCACTCACCCGTAGTCAAAGCATAGCTGTATCAAGTAACTTAAACAGTCCAAACTTAAACAGGCTGGGAATTCTTAACTGTTGAAAACAGTCACTTGCTTTTGAGTTTGAATGCAAGGACTGCTTGGCACAGACTGAATGTTTGCACAGAAGGTTAATTCACTAAGCAGTATTTTCCGCTATGCAGCTCGAGGAAATTTGCCCCCAAAAATGTGAGTTTTAAGTGGTTGAGCGTTACAGTCCTCACCTCCTCAAAGTCCTTCTCGCCTTCTTCCTCTTTATCTGCCTTGTCGACGGCAACGACGGAAGACGGACAGGTCCACTGGTGCTTGGGTAGTATCACTATGGCAACGATGTCCCCATTCACTGCTCGATTCTGATTGGCCAGTCCCTTGATAAATATCTAACACAACAGAATCGAAGTTCTAAATTCAATTCTACAAATCAATCACTTTTCTGTCAACACGTTTGTGCTCATTTAACCCTAACCTTCCAAAATCCTGCAAAGTGCTCATTGCAAAATGGAGGATTTTGCAGGATTGAGGCTACATGGCAAAAGTGTGTTGCTGATTTCGGAGGATTAACTGTGTCAAGGTCTTAGGCCGGACCTTGTGTTGTTTATGCTCAGCCGTGCATGAATTTAGGCCTATATTATACTTGAAATCCTCCGTGCTGCTACAAAAATTCACTGGCTCTGCCTCAACATATTGACAGCGATTGCTGGAGGATTTTGCAGGATTGAGGCAGTGGTCATCCCTCCAGAACCACATTCAAGAAATAACGGAGGATTTGCAGGATTGAGGTTACATCCTAAAAATAAACAGACTCTGATGGAGAGCCTATACAGTCAAAAATTCTCACAATGATTTTACTGTTATATTTTGATTCAATTAAAAAAGTTGAACAAAGAAATTGACTGAAGTGGGGCTTGAACCTGTGACCTTCGGAATTCCGTTCCGGTGCTCTACCAACTGAGCTATCCAGCCCTATGTTGGTGGTTCCCTAATTAGTCAATATATTTGTTCAAGGGGCGCTAGTCAGAAGCCATTAAACCCGTACATGCCATACAGCCAGGGATCACGCCCAAATATCCGGAGGTTGCAGGTTCAAACTCCGCTCCAGTCAATTTCTGTGTTCAACTTTTCAATTGTTATAATTCACCCAGTCAGAATCCCTGTAAGGTTCATTTTGATACTCAGATTCCAATTGATTCTGCACTCACCATCTGTTCCTCGCCATGGATGCTGACGTGTCCCTCCCTGAAGTTCTCTGAGCTGGCGTGGAACGTCCCCTGCTTGACCGTGCCGTTCTTGACAGCTGACTGGAGCTGAGTTGCTGACATGTGCTCGGGGAAGAGGACCTTGCGCCCTCCGTCGGAGCTGATGTCTGAATCTCGCTAGCCATGGGGAGAACGAAAAATACAGAAGCAGTTATTTCACTTATTAGAACCCTCCTCTACTTGTAACTATCACAAATTGTCCAAAAACATAACCCCTACCTCTCTCAACAGCTTTTGTACAGGCTGGTCATCTGGCCAGAAACCCCGATGATTTAACCGTACAACTGTCAAAGCCTGTTGAAGTGGTTTGATAGATAGGTTGACCATTAACCCTAACCCAACTCACTCCTCCAAAATCCTCCTGGCGGTTTTGGAGGATTCTAGAGGATTGAGGATGAATGGTGATTGAATCAAATGAGGATTCTGGAGGATTGAGGATGAATGGTGATTGAAGCACATGAGGATTTTGGAGGATTGAGGATGAATGGTGAATGAAGCACAAGAGGATTTTGGAGGATTGAGGATGAATGCATTTTGAGGCAGGACTGTCTGATGATTTTGAAGGATTTGGCGTTGGTTATCCTTCATTTCAACACGAGTGCAAAGTTTTGGGATGACGAGGATTTTGGAGGATTGAGGATGAATGCATTTTTGAGGCAGGACTGTCTGACAATTTTGAAAAATTTAGGCGGAGTTGAACAATTTTGGAGGATTGAGGATGGTTGTAAGCAACAAGGGCCTAGGGGGTTAGGGTCAATACTGGTATAGCTTGTGTAGCAGCCAATGATGAAGGTAGAACCATACAAGACGTGAGTCTTTGGCCCCTTACTTCTAAATTCTCAAATAAAATTAACTGAATATTCACCCACCTTTTTCCTCTCGTTCTCAGCTGAGGTGATCTGGGCTAACCTGTCGATCAACTCTGGCTTGGCTATAAGCGACTTCACATACTCATGAACTGTGAGGGGCAAGAAGGTGAGACACGTTGACAGTAAATTAAACATAAAAATAGCAAGTATTTTTTTTTTTACTGTAAAGATTTTTGAAAAAAAATTTGTTTTAAATTCAACTTAAATTATTCATAACTCTTACCACTCAATCATCGAGCTTGCCAGGGTCAGCTGGCTGGTTCGAATCTCACAACATGCAGAAATTCAAACAAGCCAGATTCAAACCGTCACATTCGAAACGATCCCGGTAAGCTCGATGGTCGAGTGGGAAGAAGGCTGCACTAGAAAGCAGGTCATGGGTTCGAGCCCCACCCAAGTAGTTTGTGAAAAAAACATTGTTTCTAAAATAAGTCAGTGAAGGGCAAAACTCAATACTGAATGCAGAAATTCATAGCAGAAAATGTAATATTCTCTACTTGAGGTTGGGGTACCGATACTTTCCTTGCCTTCCAACGCTGCGTACCAGGTTCGATTCTAGCCTGGGCCAGCATGTGGATTAGGTTTTTAGTCCCTGCCTGAAATATGTTACAACAAATATTTCCTACCAACCTGTATATGCCAACATGCCATCCTCCCTTGCTTTGTCCCGATTAGCCATGTCGTTAGTCAGCAACACAACGCTGACCCCACTCTCGTCATCTCCATCCGTGACCTTTGACCCCTGCTTCCTGGCCCTCTCCAGATGGTCTTTGTACCATTTGGCCGCCTGTCTGATCAGTCTGTCGCTGTAATCGTTGGGTGATTCCCCGGGTTTCCTCTCCGAGTACGTCTCCCTTTCGAAAAAAAAAAATTAAAATTTCATTTTAAATTTTCAAATACATTTGCATCCAAAGAAATAATTTAAACCTAACCCCCTAGGCCCTTTTTGCAAATATGGGAACCACCCAAAATACTCCTAAATTTTGCACTAATGTTCAAATGAAGGATACCCAGCGCCTCAATCCTTCAAAATCGTCAGACAGTCCTACATCTCAAAATGCAATCATCGTTAATCCTATAAAATCCTCCTCTTTTTCTAGCACCATTCATCCTCAATCCTCCAAAATCTTCATGTGCTCAAACACCATTCATCCTCAATCCTCCAAATTCCTCATGTTTCTCAAATACCATTCATCTTCAATCCACCAAAATTGTCCAAAACCGCCAGGAGGATTTTGGAGGATTGATGAAGGTTAGGGTTAAAGGATATTTTTTTTCGTCAGTTTATCACAAGCATTTGGAAGTGCATACTCAGCCTTTCCCTGTCTTTTGGACTTTTTTTTTTATACTTTTTTTGAACTCCTAAACTTCATTATTGAATGCTGGCAATGCAAATAGTAAGGGAAATTTTCATACAACTCAATTCTATGTTATGTTAGACATTCTGTTGTTTTTTTTTACTTGTGATGTTCATTGGTGAAGACGTAGAATTTCTTGTCAGTATTAGCGATGATATCCCTCATTCTCTTGTGGACTGGCAGACTGCGATGCTTGGCCTGCGGAAAACAATTGAAATATGGAACTCAAACTCAAAGATTCATTAATATGTGAAGCCAATATAAAATAACATAATAATGGCACTACTGGAACAATAATTTATGAAACCTTGTTTGTGTTGAAGTTAATTCACTTGCCACCTTTCATCTCTAAAAAGTGAAACCATGTTTCAAACTTATGAGAAAAGCACATTTCAAAAATGCACTGTATTGTTCCTGACCATTCAACGGCTTACCTCTTGCTGTACGGTCTGAAGTAGAATAACATTCTTGATGATGTTATCCTCTAAAATGTCTATCTGGAGGGAAGTAAGAATATAATAGTTGTAATAAATCGTCAGAGCCCCTTTAAGCTACACGGTCCTATTTTTACGCACTCGCATTAAATTTGTGTGTGACAACGAAGGGTAGAGGATATGTCACGCCCCAACTATCGCATCGGTCCCAACTATAGTTGGGACTGTCCCAACTATAGTGCGGCAGTTGGGTCGGCCCAACTATAGTTGGGACTGGAGTTGCGCCGGATGCTTCATGCTTGATAGATCTTGTTGGATTAAAAGTTCCGCGGCGCTGGCACCGTGTATTCGTCGTGCATGCATGCCGCAAGGCTGGCCGGTCACGTGGTACTGCCTAGTTGCATGAGTTGTCCAGCTGCTGGGTTGATTGTCCAGCAACTTTTTGCAAAATTCAAAGATTGCCATGGCCGGCCAACTATAGATGGGCCCCACCCATAGCTAATGTCAAAGGTCCCAAGTAAAGTCGGACAGTATGTAACAGAGCTGTAGGGAATGTTTTATAGTCGTCGTACAGCAATGTAAACTATAGTTGGGACCGCCAAATAAAAATATTGCGGTGGCCCAACTACAGATGGTCCCCACCCATAGATAATTTCATTGGTCCCAAGTAAAGTCAGATGTGTATTAGAGTTGTAGGGAATGTTTTATAATCGTACAACAATGTACACTATAGTTGGGACCGCAAAATAAAAAGATTGGAGTGGCCCAACTATAGATTCGCCCCATCAATAACTAATTTCAGTGGTCCCCAGTAAAGTCAGACGTGTATCAGAGCTGTAGGGAACGTTTTACAGTTGTACATCAATGTAAACTATAGTTGGGACACCGCAAAATAAAAAGATTGGAGTGGCCCAACTATAGATGGGCCAGCCCAACAGTGGAACTTACAGTTGGGACCGTCCCAACTATAGTTGGGACAGGCCCAACTATAGTTGGGCAGCCCAACTGTGGAACTACAGTTGGGACAGGCCCAACTATAGTTGGGACAGGCCCAACTATAGTTGGGACCGATGCGATAGTTGGGGCGTGACAGATACTAGCCCCACTAGTGTGGCCGTCGGTATGCTGCGCTGAACCACTAGTGTGGCCGTCGGTATGCTGCGCTGAACCTTTGGCCACACACCGTGGTACTGCGCGCTACTGAGGACGAAGTTTTTCATAAAATTCAGGGCAGTTTCTTACATTTTCAGTTTCTTACTTTCTTATGGTTGTATTCTATGATGTCTCCTATCACTTCTGGGATGCTTAGCATGTGCTTAGATCTAATGATGTTCCATTTTCCGAGATATTCTTCAATCTTTCTGGAGCCCATAATGCACTCGTGAAACGTCTGGTGGTGGCAGCCATTTTGAATGTGACAAGAGATGACCTCAAGCTGTGACGTCGCGTTTATGCAAATTGCTTGTCGAGCGCACGAGGGCGCGAGTTGCAAATACGACGGCTGTTTCCTGTGCCGTAGATTCTGAATAGAGATCGGTGCACGTGGCCCCGTGACGATAAATGCATGGTACAGGAAACAGCCGTCGCATTTGCAACTCGCGCCCTCGCGCGCTCGACAAGCAATTTGCATACACGCGACGTCACAGCTTGAGGTCATCTCTTGTCACATTCAAAATGGCTGCCATCACCAGACGTTTCACGAGTGCATATGGACTCCAGAAAGATTGAAGAATATCTCGGAAAATGGAACATCATTAGACCTAAGCACATGCTAAGCATCCCAGAAGTGATAGGAGACATCATAGAATACAACCATAAGAAAGTTAGAAACTGAAAATGTAAGAAACTGCCCTGAATTTTATGAAAAACTTCGTCCTCAGTAGCGCGCGGTACCACGGTGTGTGGCCAAAGGTTCAGCGCAGCATACCGACGGCCACACTAGTGGGGCTAGACAGATACATAACCAAGTTATGCAACTTTGCAAGACGGGGCAACCATACAAATTGGAATTTTGACAATTCAAAGTTGAAAGTAAATAACAAAATATTGAATGAAATTTTTTAATGAAAATTAAATCAAACAACATAAATATCAGCCCTACCTGGTGTAAGAGGACGTTGGTGTCCGGCAAGACGTAGTGTGGAAAGTCACACAAGTCGCTGTCTATTTGCGGATGCCTTTCCAAGACTGGCGCTTCTTGTAAACAAATGTCACACACTTCTGAACCGCACCAAATGTCATCGCGCAGATAATGCTCCCGAACTACCTTGATAACAGAGCCTCTTTTCGTCTTCTTAACGAAACTCTTGGACGTCAGCATGGTGACTACTACAAGCTTTATAAGAAATCTTTGTTAGAATTCTCAAAGCTTCTTCCTGAATCATAAAATTTTAAAATTAAAGACTAAACATGCGCCATGTGTCATGTTGCAAACGAATGGTCTTCACATACAGCGCCCTCTGCTGACATGAATTACCGACGTTAATAAAATAATAATTAACGGTCTCATAATAGGGCGCCCTCTTTTGACTTTTCATTTGCGCGTAGTTGGTGTTTTCCTGCTTTTGGGGTGTGGCACCTTGAAAAAAATATTTTCAAATTGAATTGATAATTTTCTATCATTACATTAGTTATGAGCTTTTCCAATGAGACATCGCACGAAAAAAATCGGCTGATAAGTAATCAATGAATTAATTTCAACTTTTGAATTAACCTAATAATTCATTCTGAATAGTGTGGGCAATTTCTGAACTGGAGCGCGCCATTTAAAAAACCACGTTTTAAAACTGTATTAAGGCCTGCAAAAACAAACATGTCAATTTATTTGTTACAGGACATAATGTTATATGCCTATGTGAAAATCTGATCTTTGTACCCCCACCTAAAAAATATTTTATTTCCCCGTTATTTTACTTGCATGGTGCATTATTCAACAGTGACATAATATTACCTGCGCCCCAAAGTAGTGACCCAAGCCTATCTTAACATTTCTCATTTTGCAGCACCCTCTCTGTCTAAACCCCATTTTAAAAAGTTCCTCGGAAAAAAAAGAAAAACATCATAAATATATGATTCATTGATAAACAGAATTTATATTACAAATATGGACACAAAAAAACAGAAAGTTTTTCTCAAATTCCCCTTTAATTCTGCCTCAAATTTTCATACAAAAGAAATTGATGCAACCAAAAAATAAAGTACAATTTGCAGGAATGTATACATCAAACAGTATGTATACCAATTTACTCTGAAAGAGAGTGCCTGAATTATGTCACAATTATGCCGGATTCTGTCCACATCATTGTCAGCAGATAAAGTTAACAAATTTCATAGCAACTAAAAAACTATAATTATATGTAGTACTTTTATTTCAGAAAAAAATATATACCTCAATCCCGCTTTCGGTGAAACAGTACAAAGCAACCTATTTACTAAGGTATTAATTTGCTAATTACCTACACCAGGCCTACTTGAAATCACTATTTTTACACAAAGGACATTAAGTACATGTAGTATCAAAAGTAAACCATTTTAGAATGAATTTTAAATCCATGATAAAAAACGTATTTACAATTTTGTATCTATCTAGAATGAAATGTTCATTTATAGTCAGGTTATCTGTTGAATTAATCACTCATCAAATGAAACAGAGGTTTAGATATTTTGGGTTAATATTCGGCTGAGGACTGAAATAACTACAGTGGCCGGGATTTCGAGCATGCTACATCTGTAACACCATTCAAGTCAATTTCTGTTTCTCAACGACTATTCCAACAGTCGCACAACCAGGGTTTTGTTTTCCCCATTGAAAATAGAATTTTGTCTCGCTTATAAATTCACAGGCCATCCGTGGTTTAAAGGCAGACAGGATTTTTGCCACGCCATCCACAAAATAAACACAATCGGCAGTCGGGGGGGGGGGGGGGGGGGGAACCAGGTTGTGATAGGGGCAATGTTAAAAGTGGACAATCATGAACCTTATTAGACAACAGGTGGCGCTATTATCCTGCAAATTTGTCGATGTACACAGGATTTTTTCGCGAGGCTGATTTCGGCATCCTAAAATGCTTCTATCAGCATCCAGATTTCGCCACTAAAATCTCTAGGCTGTTGGAATCTGCCACTCTGTACCCCTGGTTATGCCTCTGTTTTCCAACAGATAAGGTTCAATGGTTTCACTGTTGGTAACGATTCTATAATACTAACTTGTGGACAACTTTGTAAGTTGCAATTCACAAATGCAAAATGGAAATATTTCCTTTGAGACACACTCTGTTTTACAGGGTGCAGTCATAATAAACAAGGCTACCCTGATGAAATAAAACTAGTATAAACAATGTCCACATTTTACTTGTAAGAAAGACGTTTGGTTTTGACCTCTGATAAAGCGCTGTACTAATGTTTGATAACTGATTTGTTATTGTTCCCATGGAAACCTTTCTTCACCTTCGTCTTTGGTGTTGCTTTGATCACCACAACACCACTGGGATCAACGATAACACTCAATATTTTCTCCGGCTCAAAGAATCCCAGATCTTTCCGGGCGAACAGATCGCGTACGGAGTACCCGCTCGCGTCTGGGAAGCCGAGGGCTTTCATGGTGGTGGTGCGGTTGTGGGGCATGTCGATCGCCCGGCTGAAAAATACTGCCGCGTAGGAGTTGCCGACAAGCTCTTTAGTCCAGATTTCGAACGAAGAGTCCTATGGATGTAAAAAATGTTTGAAATGCCATTAAATAGATGACATTAAAATGGGGGGCGGGGTTGAACCTCATTCATTGAGAAGGGGCGCCCTTTTCTATATTTTGCTTTTCGGCTCTGAAGGCTTGCCTAGTACCTACAGCGCATGGCGCAATATGATTAACGATCTTTGCCTACTACAATGTCGACGTTGACTTTCCAGCCCCTGATGAAACCAATATAAAATGCGCCATCTTGTCTCAAAACTGACCTTGTAAATGCGCTGGCCCATCTTGCCCAGCTTGTCCTGATTGACCGCTAAGATCTCGGGATTCAGGACGATGGCTTTGGCCTCGGGGTCAAGAGTTCGAAGGTCACTGGACAGGAAGAGTTGAGACGTGATCATTGTATACAGGGCAAACTGGGACTTGGCTTGAGTTGTACTCAGGGAGAAATCTCCAGCTATGATCTGAAATGCAAAACAAAATGTGAAAGTCCAAATCTGGGAAAAGTAAGTTCAAGTCCAGACTGGACTTGAAGCGAGTTATGTGTTGTGTTGGTAATTGTGTTTCTGGAATTTCAGGAATTCTTTTCAGATATTTAGGGGGATATGTTCAGTAAAAATAGTCAGTAGGGTTTAGGGACACTAGGGGTGGGGCGGGACGGGGGCAGGGCGGGACAGGGGGAGGGAGGGGAGGGGAGGAGGTTTCTCTCAGTCTCAAGTTATGCATGGTATGTTGACTTTCATCTTGGCTAAAGCCCAGACCTAAAATCTCTGAATAACTTCAAAACCTAAAAAAAAAATTTATGAAATTTTTTTTTGTGAGCAAGATTTAATTTAATCCTTAATCCAGGGTTCAAGTCCAGATCACACATAATACAAAGTTCAAATTTGTAAGTTTGACAGTTTAGCGTTCTGGCATCAGAGAAAAATCCAGACTTCTCTACAATGCTGAGAAATATTCCATACATTCATTAGTGGATTTGTTTGGAGAATATGACTATTTGTGTTACACCTACAGAAGGATGAATCTAGAGAGTTTTAAAAGGAATGCCAAGATTAAGCTGTACAGAAAGTGACAGCGTCACTTTTTAATGCAATTACTTGACTTTTTTTCTGAAAATGCGCAAGCAAACCCCATTATAAGAAAAATCATTCTAGCACAATGAATCATCACAAAATATTTTCTTACAAAGTCAGCATCGTTGTAGCCCCCTGGTCCGGAAGCATTGTAGAGCACGGCCTGATTCTCAGCGAACCAGTCCACGATTTTTAAGATCTGAACCCAACTGTCTTGGATGTCCGCATAGTCTCGGAAGGAGTTGCAGTACTCCGCAATCTGGGTAAAGTTGGGCTGTGAGACAACATGACACATAGAAAAACAAACGTTTATTAACTCAATTTTGACAGAGAAATGGTTCGGCCGATGATTAACGTGAAAAGAAAGTCGGGTCGATACTTTGAAAGCCTGCAGTAAGCTAAGTTGTAGAAAGAGAAAAACCAGAATTCCACGACAAAGTTATTATATGAACAAGTTTATAGACACTTGTAGATTAAATAACAAGTTGCTTTAAAAGAATTGGGCATTATTTCAACTGAAAAATGCTATCAAGTCAAAGTCACGATGAAAACTTCATTTTTCAATTTATCGTGACTTTTCTCAGAGTGTCCAAGTCACTGTTTGAAAACGTTCATCCTCACTTGCTCAAGTTTGAATACCATAAGGAATATCAATTAAAATGCCTACTTACAGTTATTACTCTTTTGATTTAGTTAACCAGTTTGCGCTGGATGACATGTATACGCGCAAAGGTTTTGCGGTTTTTGGAACGGAGTAGGGATAAAAACGCAGGGAGCGCGGCCGGAAATATCTGTCAGCGACCCGCTCGCAGCGAGCGAGGCCGGAAATATGAGTGTGCTGCCAGAAGGTGATGGCTTCAACCCGCCTGGCTTGAGGTCGAGTGAAAAGTAATCGTTCCGTTCTTGTCAAAATAATCCCGGCGCCAACTGGTTAAAGAATTTGTGTCACACAATATTTTGTAAGTTGATGGCAATAGTTTCCTAGTCAGATTCTCTACTTTATTGGTTTTGAGAAGATTTCCACAACTGATGATACTAAATGTTGTTAGAGAGCTTACCGCAGATTCATGGGCCCACTCACATGAGAAGAGAATGGGTCTTCCACTGCTGTTAAGGGCCTTTGACATATTTATATATCCTGCAAATAAAAAAACACTACATAAACACAAAATTATTGAAGGGGGGTTCTTAAGTTGTGTACTAATTAAGATTTGGTACGGTTTCTGTGCCTTATTTTTTTTAAAGTGAAACTGTAATCTACTGTGACAAAAGTGACACAAACATCACAAGACAGAACCCTTAAAAATTATTTTATGGCACAGATACAGCATGAGCAAACACAATTCTGACATTTGTAGCTGTTAAAGTTGATATATGGACACCATAAAACCCGATGATAGAAAGCGATAAACAACCGTGGCTCATAAATTTTACTTCAAGAGGGACACGGTACCATAAAACTACAGAATTCCATGGCAGTAAAAAATATCGAATGGCACCCATATATCAAGGATTTTTGTGCACCATGCACTGCTGTTGTGTGCCCATGTTTGTGTGCATCCATCACACACCAAGACACTATGGACTTGTGCATATCACAAAAGAAAGACTGATGCGTGAACACAAAAGAAGAACTGATCGTTCATTTGTACACTTTGTTATTTTTTAGCTCAAGAAAAGGGCCCACAGAATGTGTGTTTACTGATGCTTAAGAGTGAAGGCCAGTTAGTTGCTAGTTCGCAGATACTTGTTCCGTAGTTGTGGGGACATACACTCGTCGTTACATGTCGGAACCGAAAACGCTATGGGGACAGCAGAAAGTCCCCATAACTCGGTCCTAATTTGCCTAACAATAACAAACTTCCCCAATATGATAACGCTGTGTAGGCCTACCCATACGTAGCAGTAAGTTTACACACTGCAAATTCACAAAAAGTGGACACATTTCAAATTCGCAACTCCGGCAAGTTCACTGCAAACGTTTTGCAAAGTGAAAGTCACTTTGCATTTACATTTCAGTGAAATATAAAATTGCTTTTAGCGATTCAGCACTATCTAGTAATCCAATGACAGAGCTGGTTTTCTGAACTTTACAACCATCTCTTTTGGAAGAAACATACCTTCAGCCATTTGCTCCTTGCCCAGATTATAGCAGGTATCCATCTTGACCAAGTCTATGCCCCACTCAGCATAGGTCTGGGCATCTATGTCAATGTGGCCCCAAATGCCAGGATACTTCTGGCAGGTGTAAAGGCCCATGGATTGGTACAGTCCGAACTTCAGCCCCAGTGAATGGATCTGTTGTACAAAGTGGTGGAAAAGAGTTGAGAGAAATGACAAGAATGACATCTTTAAAAGCAATAAAGGAGTGGAGGCACATTTTCCTGTTTGGGACACTTATCTCATGATGCTCCTAGAATGCAAATACAGTTTTCATTTTATTTTTTTAAAAAATAAAGTAAATGGTCGGCAGATGTCCAAGTTTCACCATTATTTTAACCTTCTGAATAAGATCTCAGAAAATTAAAGACAGACATTTCAGACGAAGCTACTTGAATTCACTCACAGTGAGTGGTTGATAATGTACCTTAATCAACAATATATCACTTTCGTGAAAGAAAAGAAATTACTGGAATTTCACCAGTCTCTGGTTAAGACGTTTGGAAGAATAAATGACTTTGCTTATATCCTGGAGGTACGGCGCTAATTCTGTACATACAGCACAGAAGTCAAGTCTGTGAAACGGGATGAACGATATCGAGTTTTCCCCGATAAATTTTAAAAACTTGGGGCATAGCAACCACAAAGTCAGTAACATACATAGTCAGTTAGATTCTTCAGTCCGCTAGGGAACCTCTTAGGGTCTGGTTGGAGTCTTCCCTGGGCATCCCGCGCAGTGGACATCCAGCAGTCGTCCATGCAGACGTATTCATAACCCGCCTCCTTGTAGCCCTCGGTAGCTATGACCTTTGCCATCTCTGCGTACAGTCGCTCACTGGAAAGCAAGAAGATAAGTTGTATTTGAATTAAAGTTATGATTTTTTTCTGTACTCAAACGATAACGTACAATGTTGGACAAAGAAATTGACTGGAGCAGATGTCAATTGTAAGTCGTCTGGTTTCTAATCAAGAGACAAGCTATTCAAATGACCTGAGACAAAGGCATCCTAACTTGCACTTACACTTAGGTTGATGGGTAATATAATAGGCTTGTTTATTCCAGTAAGAATCTAGCTTGCTCTGGAATAGATTTGTTGATCTCGCCTTCACACCTTCAGCAGGGAGACTGCTCCACTCATTGATGACCCTGCTTGAGAAGAAATTCTTTCTGATGTTTTGTCCCTTCTTTAAGTCTGGTTTAAATAACTTGTCAGCGTGGCCCCTTAATTTGCCCAGGTTCTGGCTGCTTTGGAAGAACTTTCCTTCTTCTATTCCTTCTAGCCCATTTAGTATCTTAAAGACCTCAATAAGGTCTCCTCTCATGCTTCTTTCCTCCAGGCTATACATACATCTTTAGCTCCGTTAGTCTTTCTGCGTACCGTTTGGACTTGAGACAAGGGATTAGCTTGGCTGCTCTTCTTTGAACTGTTTGCATCATCTCAATAACGACAGTTGGGATGATCCCAGCTACAGTTAGGATCATCGAAACTATAGTTAGGAATTGCCCAACTATATATTGTTGGGACTGTCCAAACAATAGTTGGTACTGTCCCAACAATAGTTGGGACCATTTCTATAGTTGGGACCATTGTCACAGTTATATTGACTTGTGATTCTAAAGTTCTCTAGCTGGAACAGCTAACTTGGGACGGTCCAAGTTTAAAGTTGGGAACGTGGTCTAATTGGGAGGTAACAATTGCAAGTATAGTTTTAAATGAAACAGCTGGCCATCTTACCTGACACAATTCTCGGGGTCTACGTCGCAGTCAAGATTACAACGGAACCTCTCCCATGAATTCCATCCCAAGGGCGGGGTCAATGCTAGGCCGTTGTGGGAGGCTTCCACCGATGCAGTGACTCCAAGCAGCAGTAACAATGCTGCTATCAGAGATTTCATCTTGTCTAACTTGTCAACAACTGATGGAAACACAACACGACAAACATGTCATAAAACCAAAATCTTGGAAAAATATCACTCAATGCAACTTACTGAGGAGTAATTGCAGAATACCCTGCCACTCGAAAATCATGCACCCCTTAAAGGGAATATACATCATTTGCTTTTGCTGTAATTTTCAGAAATGGGTGGAATTGGGGGGTTGGAAATATATAGCAAAAATAGTTACACTGACTTTTTTGAGGTTTTGGGTTCGAAAATGCTATAAAAACCAAGAAAAACGATCATTTTCCTGTAGTCTGGTTCCCCGACTCCAAATAAGAAGAAACAGAGCAGTTTACATACATTGAGGAATTGTAAGGTCAGGGAACCAGTCTAGCTGGCTCGTACCCGTTCATAGGTTTGTAATCGATTGCAAACAAGTGCGATGGTCAATTGGGGCCAGTATTTGAAAAAAAAAGCCAGTTGTTTCCAACGCTGATCGGCCGATCAGCGTTGGAAATTGAAGTTGGGGGGGGGGGGGGAACGTAAGAATGAAGAATGTGAAGAATGAGAATGAATACTGCGACATCCCATAGTGCTAATGCTATTTCCCATTTAAATTGCCACCAATTTATTGTTCACACCCCACCATTACGTCGCAGAGCTGGATTCTATCTAGTCAAAAGAGCAATTTTGGCAGCTTCTGGACATCGTTTTTTTTTTCGTGGCATGCATATGATACATACAGGGACTTGTAACTTGTCTAGCCTAAACAAAGCACTTCCCAGACTAGTTCCCAGTCCTCCCTTATTACAAAACTTCCCATAGTGGGCAGAAAAAAGCAATAATAACAGGTTTAATTTGATTCAAATTATCGTAGTTATACGAGTACAGAAGCATAGAACATTTTCTTTCCTCTTTATATAAATTGTTTCCCTTTTAACCGCTATACATTTCATTTAACATAATTATGTCGTGCAATGTTTGTTAAGATTGGGCAAAATTCATAAATTGTGCACGTGATATTCCCACCCAATCTTAAGAATGAGCGCTCATTCTTAAGAACGTGTGCTCGTTCTTAAGAATGGGCGCTCATTCTTAAAGGGAATATACAACATTTGCAAACATCGAAAAATAAAACTACCAAGTTTTTGCGAAATACCTTAACAGGATGTTGGTAAATGACAGTCTAAAGCATCCTGTAAAATTATGGCACCTGGTATACTGTCATTTTCAAGAAAAGTGGTATTTTTGTATCAATTTCCAACGCTGATCGGCCGATCAGCGTTGGAAACAACTGGCTTTTTTTCAAATACTAGCCCCAATTGACCATTGCACTTGTTTGCAATCGATTACAAACCTATAAACGGGTACGAGCCAGCTAGACTGGTTCCCTGACCTTACAATTCCCCCAAAGTATGTAAACTGCTCTGTTTCTTCTTATATGGAGTCAGGGAACCAGACTACAGGAAAATGATCGTTTTTCTTGGTTTTTATAGCATTTTCGAACCCAAAACCTCCAAAAAGTTAGTGTAACTATATTTGCTTTATATTTCCAACCCCCCAATTCCATCCATTTCTGAAAATTACAGCAAAAGCAAATGATGTATATTCCCTTTAAGAATGCACGCACATTCTTAAGATTGCGTGATTTTCAAAAATGGGCACAACATGTACAAAGTCTATGGAGCTGAGACTAGACTAGAGTCCAGTGCATTTTCAAAATATTTTGTAACAAAATTGGAAATGTTTCTCAGTCCAAGATTCATGTCTTTTCATCATTTTCATCTTTTCATCATCATTCAGCAACGTTCTTTCCAAAAATGGATAGGTCTACTTACTTTTCAACAGATCCACACTTCGACGCGACGATGCAGACGATTTTTCTCTGTACACTTGCAGTGCGCCCTCTTGTGAAGTTTTTATTAACTCACGAGAGGTGAGATCCCGTGAGCGATCAAGTGATCGCTCTATAGTAAGGGATCAACTCATCAGTTTCATTTTCAGCCAAAAATTAATGCTTTATTCCCTTTAGTGACATCTATCTGAAAACTGGAAACAAGACTTCTTTTTTTTCAATCCTTATGCTGTAAGTTGTGTTGATTTACATTTCAGAAAATTTAAAAAGATTCAAAATGAATGCATTCTGCCCACTAAAAATGCCCCCCCCCCAAAAAAAAGTACGTTTCACACTGCTCTGATTATAAAGAGTATACACCAAAAACAATCTCCAGTGAGATTTTTAAAAAAATATAATAACGTTAACATATCATGCTCTTAAAAAAAAAAGATATTTTTTTTTTCTCCTGACGAAAAAAAGCTACTTTGTTCCGATTTTGGGCGTCTGCAACCCGCTTCAAAGAAAGGCTTTCATTTGATTATTGTCTGTGGCAGCCAATGAAGTTTTGTGAAGGAATTCAGTAACTAAATGTTGGTGGATTTTTTTTCTTTCAATGTCTCATTAAAACGTGAATATTGTCAGGAAATACAGCAATTGAAAAAAACATCTATTTTTCAAGGTGACACTGGAATAGCACGGAGAATATCTTAATAATGGCTGGAAATTCAATTTAATCAAAATATTACAAATGATTATTCCTGTAATTGGGAGTAATGTTTATTGATTGGAAATACTAATCAGCACATTAAAACAATACTTATTTCATGGAAATGGCCCCTATGAACTGTCCTTCGGTTTTCATGACTTATGACAGAACCTCCCATGTGGACGCCATTGACTAACACTGCCCACGAGTTGTTCAGTAAAACAAAAATTGTACTTGATTTTTTTTCGGCTGGGATAGAATATTAAAATATTTCCTATCTTAACTGAAGCTTATTTTCTTTAATAAGGCCACATCCATTCCTAAAAATTTCAACACATAGAGCTACCATAAGGACAGTTTTTCTTTGCAAATATAAATGTTAATCATTATTATTATTATTAAAATAATTTGTTAAATCTGAATGAATACTTACATCTGTCTGCACTTTGAGCAAGCAAAACATAAAAAAGTATCAAATGGCTTGTAATTTATTGGCTCATTAAGAGCTTCACAAGAAAGCACATTTACTTAGTTCATTCTGTAATACAAATTTAGCTCACCGAATCTTAACTTTACCTTATTTCAGCATGTGCCTATTAATGTTTTAAATCCACAAATTTCATTGATTGTCATATGTTTCAATCGATCAATTAATCCCACTACCAAAATACACAAATAAGTTCTTTTTACTACATTTTGTTAATAACTGAATAAACGTTTTGCCACATGCCTACATGGATTGCCATTAGCCCTAACTCTAGTATTTTTGTTAGAATACTTCTCAAATCCTCCAAAATGCAAGACAATTGCACATTCCTTGAACATCTAGGATTATTAGCTTTCCCATGCCTTTTGTTTGTTCCAATATTAACACCACTCAAAATCCAAAGAAGAATGTTCAAAACCTAACCTAAGTTCAGCTCAGTGCATATTACACCCTTTGGGAAAACAGTGAAAAAAAAGTGCGCAACCTTTTGATCAGGAAACATGAGTTCATCTATAAAGCTCGATTTCCAACAATCAGTTAATTGACTGATTACTGGAAATCGCCTACATTTCTCGATTTCTTCTACATGACAGCAAGCCAGATGGAATAATTTCACGTATTGTTTTGAGAACCAGTACAATCTTCAATCCAAGTAAGCTTTTTGATAATATTTCAGTAGGTTACTTTTGGAATAAATGCAACGTACTGATCCAATCTCTGAGTCTTACATCTAATGAAGAGGTGAATGTTGGAATTCTGATAAAGAGCTGTATTAATTTTTGATGACTGATTTGTTATTGTTCCCATGGAAACCTTTCTTCACCCGTGTCTTTGGTGTTGCTTTGATCACCACAACACCGCTGGGATCAACGATAACACTCAATATTTTCTCCGGCTCAAAGAATCCCAGATCTTTCCGGGCGAACAGATCGCGTACGGAGTACCCGCTCGCGTCTGGGAAGCCGAGGGTTTTCATGGTGGTGGTGCGGTTGTGGGGCATGTCGGTTGCTCGGCTGAAAAAGACCACCGCGTAAGCGTCGCCGACGAGCTCTTTGGTCCAGATTTCAAATGAAGATTCCTATGGATATGAAAAATATTCTAAATGTCATAAGATTCGCTGTCAGAATTTTGGGGTTCTCTAGAGTAGGCAGTCAAAGAGTTGTCCACCCTGTACAAAACTACTCAATGAAAACAATGAATTTATTGACAAACTTTTAAGTATGATCTCGTTTAATGGATCATGGTGCCAGACCGTGACTTTTTTTAATTTGATGCCTTTTATACCAATTGCGAGTGAGTGTGGCCTAGTGGTTAGAGTTTGTGACTCGTGATCAGAGGGTCAGGAGTTCGAATCCATCTGCTGGCCTTATGTTGTGTCCTTGGGTATGCCACTTCACCCTAGCTTGCCTCTCTCCACCCAGGAGTAAAGGGTACCGGCATTAGCTGGGGAGTGACCTAAGATGGACTAGCATCCCATCCAAGAAGAATAGAAATATCATCAGTCGTTTCACACTACAGAAACCGGAGATAAACGTCGGCTTGACAGGTCACATTGGCTCGTAACAGACTTTACATATTCCAATTCCATGATTCTTGTAAGCGGGAAAGTTTTTTTATTTAAATTACTTGCTAACCATGAATCAGCTAAGAACTATGTCCCATCCAATAGGTTCTGATTGTATGACTTCAAAGTAACACATGACCATCTGGTTTTCCCGTATCGGCTGCGATTGTAGTAGGCAAGCGTTTGGTTAGCAACCACGTTGTGCTTGGTAACCTAGAAGGTGGACTTACGGCAAATTCTTTGTCAAATGGATTAATGGTCTCTAACCATGCTGTGTATGGTTGTCATAATCATGCCGACCCAACACTGGGTCTTGGCTCCAAGTTTTTCTCACAGTTTTTGCCTTCCATGACAGCTTTCAAGGCTTGCCAACTACCTACTGCACCCAACACTTAACGATCTTTGCCTACTAAAATGGCGACGCACACTGACTTTCCGGCCCCTGATGTAAGCCAAAACGCGATCTTGTCTCAAAACTGACCTTGTGGATGCGCTGGCCCATCTTGCCCAGCTTGTCCTGACTGACCGCTAAGATCTCGGGATTCAGGACAATGGCTTTGGCCTCGGGGTCAAGAGTTCGAAGGTCACTGGACAGGAAGATTTGAGAATTCATCATCGTCCACATGGCAAACTGGGACTGGGCTTGAGTTGTGCTCAGGGAGAAATCACCGGCTATGATCTGAAGGATAAACAAAAAATGTGAAAGTCCAAAACTGGGAAAAAAGTTCAAATCCAAACTGGATTTGAAGCAAGATATTTCCAAAAACACACAAACCAACCCCGTTATTACAAACAAACAAATATCCAGCATTATGAATCAATAAGTATTTTCTTACAAAGTCACCATCGTTAAAGCCCCCTGGTCCAGTCGCTTTGTACAGCACGGCCTGATTTTCAGCAAACCAGTCAATGATGCTTAGGACCCGATCCCAGGTATCTTGGATGTCCCCGATGTTTCGGAAGGAGTTGCAGTACTCCGCGATCTCCGTGAAGTTGGGCTGTGAGATAACACGATAAGGAGATAACAAAAAATAATGAACCAATGAATATTAAGGAGAAAATGGTCAAAGACAATGATTAACGTGAAAAGAAATTTTGGTGAATGTTTTGAAGGCCTGCAGTGTCTTAAAAATTGAAAAGCCAGATTTTGACTCTAGGGCAATTATAACAAATGCCACAAAAAATAGCTCTATATTATATTACGATGAATGAATCTGTGACTAATAAATTACACAGAATTTTGACTTATTACTTGGTAATTTAAGGTTTTCATGTAAACAGTCATTAATTATATGTCACGTCAACTTGGGTTTTACAAGTCTAGCTATCCATGAAAAAAGTGACTAAATACATACCCCACCATATGCACGTGCCCATTCACATGAGAACAAAATGGGTCTCCCACTGTGGTTGAGGGCATAGGACATGTTTATAAAACCTGCAAATTAACAAAATCAAACGGAAAAATAGAAAGGACAAAGTGTTGTTGTTAATGGTGACCCTGATGTATTTTGTGATATGGGATCTTTACTTCATTTTTTAAAGATAGCTAGTACATCATTTGCAGCTAGCCAAAAAGTAACTGACGAATTTATCGTTGAAAAGCAATACTTGGTTTAAAGATAGCAATGGCACTAAACTCCCTCTGAAATTATTCCTTCTGGCATGCTGTCATTTTGAAGAAAACAATAAAAGAAGGTCATTTCCAAAGATGCCTCTGAAGACGCACACACGCCTGCAGTTGTTATTATTCACAAGTTCAGCGCGTGACATCGCGTAGCTGCAATTGGCTGAATGAGGTGTCCCAGACGCTGATTTGGGGCACAATTTGAAACGTAACTCGGCAACTTTTGAATTGAAAACGAGATCCTAGAATATTGTGTTTCTCGGAATATGCAGCATTCACTGAGCTAAATCTTCATCAGGTTAGTTGTTAAGCACCCGTCTTTAGCTTTTGAGCACTTTTGTTACTTCAAACGAAAAAAAAAAGCACAAACGACAAATGATGTACTCTCCCTTTACGTGACACTGTAATCTACGGTGACAAAGGTCAAACAACAATCATAAAACACATTCCTTAAAAGTTGTCTTTGTTTTTCAATTTTATGTCACATGTATACAGCATGGGCAAACACAGTTCTGGCATTTTATCTGTTAAAGTGGATAGAAGGATACCATAAAAATTGATGCAAAAATTCATGTCATGGCAATAAAAAATGTATCAAGGATTTTTGTGCACCATGCATTGCTGCTGTATGCCCATGCTTGGGCCTATCATACGCCAAGAGACTATGGACTTACGCACATCACAAAAGAAAGACTGATGCGTGTATACTTCTCTATCATTTACCTCAAGCAGAGGGCCTATGGAATGCATTTTTTTTTACTGATTATCATGAGCAAAAGACCGGTTCTAAACAGTGGCTATTTCATACATAACGGCAAGTTGATACACTGCGAATTCACAAAAGTTGAGCAAATTTCTAATTTTAAATTCCATCTAATTCACTGCAAATTCGTTTCACACAAGTATGAAATACAATCACTTCCTTTTGCTACACGGCCTTATCTACTGCTCCTGCAGGAAATATATTGGCAGAGCTTGTTGTTTGAAGTTCAAACCCTCAGTCTTTTGGAAGAAACGTACCTTCTATCATTTTCTCTTTACCCAGGTTATAGCAGGTATCCATCTTGACCAAGTCTATGCCCCACTCAGCATAGGTCTGGACGTCTATGTCAATGTGGCCCGCAATGCCAGGGTATTTCTCGCAGGAATGGAGGCCCATCGATTGGTAAATTCCTAACTTCAGCCCCAGTGAATGGACCTGCGGTACAAAGTGGAGGAAAGAGTTTAAAGAAATGACAAGAATGAATTGAAAAAAAATTCAAAAAACCCAATGTGTTTTTTCCAATAGTATCAATGACTCATTCTTTAGGGGGAGGCGATAAGGGAGAGGGGGGTATAGTTCCCTGCTTGAACACTTGTCTCACGTTGCACCTAGAATGCAATTAAAAAGTCCAATTTTTTTCCTCAAAAATTATAGATGAAGCCACAGTTGGGGTATAACAACCACAAACTCAGTAACATACATAGTTAGCTAGATTCTTCAGTCCGCTAGGGAACCTCTTAGGATCCGGTTGGAGTCTTCCCTGGGCATCCCGCGCAGTGGACATCCAGCAGTCGTCCATACAGACGTACTCATAACCCGCCTCCTTGTAGCCCTCGGTAGCTATGACCTTTGCCATCTCTGCATACAGACGCTCACTGGATAGCGAGAAAATAATTTGCATTTGAATTAAAGTTCTGATATTTCCATATTCAAACGATAATTGTACAATTGTAAGTCGTCAGGTTTCAATTCATATGACCGTTGACAAAGGCATCCCAACTATAATTGGAAGACAGTTAGGATCGTCCCAACTATAGTTAGGAATTCCCCAACTTTTGTTGGGACTGTCCAAACAATAGTTGGTGCTGTCCCAACTGTAGTTGGGACCATTGCCAAAGTTGGGACCACTGCCATAGTTGGGACCACTGCCATAGTTGGGATCATTGCCATAGTTGAGACCATTGCCATAGTTGGGACCATTGCCATAGTTGGGACCATTGCCATAGTTGGGACCATTGCCAAAGTTGGGACCATTGCCATAGTTGGGACGATTGCCATAGTTCAGACCATTGCCATAGTTGGGACCATTGCCATAGTTGGGACCATTGCCATAGTTGGGACCATTGCCATAGTTGGGACCACCGCCATAGTTGGGACCACTGCCATAGTTGGGACCATTGCCATAGTTGGGGCCACTGCCATAGTTGGGACCATTGCCATAGTTGGGACCAACTGGAACACTTTTAATGACCCGGCTGGCCGGCTGGCCATGTTACCTGATGCAATTCTCGGGGTCCACGTCGCATTCAAGATTACATCGGAACCTCTCCCATGAATTCCATCCCAAGGGCGGGGTCAATGCTAGGCCATTGTGGGAGGCTTCCACCGATGCGGTGACTCCAAGCAGCAGTAACGATGCTGCTATCAGAGATTTCATCTTCAGGAAATATTAATTCATCAACAACTGATTAAAAACAAAAAACAAAAACACAACAAAACATATGTTACACACTCACACGCCAGTCATGCCAGTGTGTATTTACCTGCAATCGGGTCGAGTCCCCCTATTATCCCTCTTTTGTTTGTACTTAAACTTTTTAGGAAGACCTCCCATATGTTTTGTACATGATCGCCAAATTGGGGACCTAAGCTTCGGGAATTGGGGACCTATTATATTGTCCTCTATTCCCCTGTTGAACATGTTGAATGCAGAAACAAACTCACACACGTAATTATACTATTTTTTTGTCAGTGCAACCACTGACCATGGCAACTGAAATATATGAGAAAACAATGTACTGAGGAAAACTCTCAGTCTCAGTTTTTAAGATCCCCGTCATGTTCATTCACAGGTGTAAATTATTCAGTTCCAGGAATTTTGGGAAAATGAAAGGGCCAGTGTTTATAGCTCCATGGGCCAACTAAGAAAAAAATATTGATTTTTTTTATTTCTCAGTTTGTAAGACCATGATTTGGCTAGCCTTGATTAGCTTAAAATTTCGAATGACCGGAAAAAATGTAGGCATACTCACTTTTCAAACGATTCGACACAGATCAACAAAACATTGATACTGAATGCTTTACCAGTAATGCAGACGATTTTCTCTTCGCTTTGTTGTGCAGTGCGCCCTCTTCTGAATGTTATATTTTACGTGCACTCCTATTGGCTAAACTTGGCCGAGCCCTCTTTTTTACCCCAATCATATGAATGTTCATTAACTCGTGAGAAGCACGATCCCGTGAGCGATCACGTGAATCGCTCTTGAGTAAGGGATCAACTCATCAGTTTCATTTTCAGCCTAGAATTAGTATCTTGCTTATTTTAATGAATTAATTTCGTTTATAAATGATTCCTTCTCTTTTGACATCACTTAGAAATTGAAAAAAAATAACTCCCTTTTTAAATTCCTCATGCTGGAATTTTGTTGATTTGAATTTCAGAAAACTGAAAGAAAAATGTTTTTGCTGTGAGATTTTTTAAAAACTAATATAACATGTATATCCCATGCTCTAAAAAAAATGTTTTTTTTTTCTCCAAACGAATTTTGCAAGCATTTGTTAGATTTGTTTTAACGAAAAGAAACTCCTTTATTGCGCGAAAAGGGCTTTCACTTTCTGCACAAATAACCCAGCCGTGCAAAAGTCGAATTGTCTGGCAGCCAATTGTTCCAATTTTGTGGAGAAAGAACACAATTAACTAAATGTCAGTGGATTTTTTTTTCAATGTCTCATTCAAAATTGAATTATGTTAGGAAATATAGCAATTGAAAAAAAAAAATCTATTTATAAGAGGTGAAACTCGAAAATAGCACGGGAATACATCTTTAATTATTGAAAATTCAATAAATCAAAATATTACAAATTAAACAAAACTTTTCCCTTGAAGGTTTATTGATAAATACAAATGAGTTACAAAAGTCACTTTTTACAAAACTAACTTTTACAAACTTGAGGGTCACTCATTTTAAACAAAGTATGTCATTAGTATAACCAACAAGTACATGTACAAAAATATCAAGCTCATATGATTTGTAGGCAAATCTAAAAAAAAAAAAAATCAACACACACAGAGTTTCTATAAAATATTTTCTCAACGGCCACAAATCTTTTCTTATAAACGTCTAGTACTCTTAATATCACAATTGGATGTAAAAATACATTTGAAAAAGGAATCATATCCCAATTTCATATTGAACTTGAGCATATTGAGCAATAACATTTTAACACAAGACTAGCGATTAAGTTTTGAATGGAACCATGGAAAGACTTTTTTGAAAGACTTTTTTTTTAAAGGCAAAAAGAGGCTTTATAACACAAAAACTAAAGTAGAATCTAGAATATTTCAAAAAAATAAAATAAAGCTATTGTATAATAGCAAAAATATGTCCTACTTCCCAATCTACAAACATGAAAAGAATGTTTATATTAAATAAAAAGTAGTGAAACAAAATATAGAAACAGCACAAAATATTCTTTGAAAGACTTCTGGAAAATAAAACTTTCAATTACCTAGAATGGAATGGTTAAGTACAAAATATATTACATAACGTATATTATATAACTCAAGCAGTTTTTCTTTGGTTTCTTTGGGTTTATGGCCATTTAATTAATGGCTACCGTAAGGACAGTTACTTGCAAACCAAATTGCAAATTTGAATAAATTATGCATATTATCTGCACTTTGAGCAAGCAAAAGAAAAAAATAACACCATATGGTTTGTAATAAATTTTATACATTTTGGAAAGAACTCCATACCTGGCCATCACTTGTCACCCTGTGCACAAACCCTATGAGACTGGTCAGAAAAATTCCAAGTGTTTTCTCAGTAAATGCTTCAATATTTTTCCTGCTAAATTAGCCTTTTTTAAACATGTTATCGCTTTCTGATGGCTGATAAAAATGAGTGATGTCATTGTATGGAATTGTTTTCCTAAAATGTTTCCCTCACAAAGAACTTCACAGCAAAGCACACTTATTTAGTAAATTTTATACTACAAATTAAATTCACAAAATCTTGTTAAATTCACCTGATCTCACCATGTGCCTAATATTTAAAATTACAAAATTTTCATTGATTTTGATATACATTAGTCAATCGATCAATTAATCCCACAACCAACATACAAAAATAAGCTATATTTACTACTTTTTGTTAATAACTGAACAGAGGTATTTTTCACAAGGTTTTGCATATATAAGTGAGTAGCTTTTTATCATTACGCCTTTGCCTTTTTCCAAAATCCTTCAAAATCAACCCAAAATACAAGAAACGAATAGGCCTGAATCATCCTAACGTCACGCTTTGTTTAGATTTAAGCATTCTGATGGGAAATTGGTGGCTCTCGTCCCAACACTGCTGTCATATGAAAGCGCTGTAAGCAAACGTTGATGTCATTACGATTTAGGTGTACTGCACATGCTCTGATCTTCCACTTGTAACCCTTCCCTTACAATGGGCGACTTTTGTCAACAAGGAACTACCCCCATGCTGCTTACCAGAGGTGACTTAAGTCGAGCAGGAAACCACACACAGAACACCCTCAACACAGATTTATTCACTGCTTTTCAGAAATATGGCATGCTGGTATGTTTTGCTGCCCATACATCAACCATATACTAGCTGTAAGAGTGTTTTCAGATCATTCTGATGGTGCAGTTTATTCACTGTTTTACCATTGCAAAAATGTTATAAGAAAAGTGCTTCAGAAGTATCCACGCACAATTTGAGGTATGGAGTGCCATTTGGTCATGTGGTGAAATGGCTTGCAGTTTGATAACTGCGGCCAAGTCAACAAACAGGCATAACATTCTTATATTTGCTGCTATGGCCTTGTTTTTTACAACACATAAAAGAGTGAAGTTCAAGGAACAGACGTTACACACAACAAGTTTGATTTTAATCACTCCTTGGCAGTGAAAATCTGGGTTGAAAAAGTGAGTTTTTAACTTGTGGTCTATTTTTCATCCTGTAGTGATTTCCGCATGACTGAGCAAACAATATTGTTCTGGGGAGAGCCAAGTCAATAAGCAAAGAGGCAATGAAAGGGTTAAGATCCATCTTGCCAATCTAACAGTACCTATTGGCTCAATCCTACGAAATCTTCCAACTCACACGATGGATTTTAAAGGATCATGGAGGGGTAAGGGTTAATAAACTCGGACAAATTTCTTGATTGGTTTTGGTGTGGCCTTTATCATGACCACCCCACCGGGGTTGACTGAGACAGACAAGGGGTCCGTTGGACCAAACACTCCCAGGTCCTTGTGCAGGAACAGATCGCGCACAGTGTAGGTGGTGTTGCTGCCGAAGCCCAAGTACTCCATGGTGGTCGTGAAGTTCATAGGCATGTTTCGGGCCCGTCTCAGAATGACGGCAGCGTAGCATCCCTGGTCTAGCTCCTTGGTCCACGCCTGAAACTGGTTTTTCTGGAGAAAAAAAATTGGAAGCGGGAAAAATCCCTCATGAGAATTATGCCTTTTGCTTGCATCAAAATTGTTCTGCAAACCGAAATACTTGGCTACTGCTGAGTAACACAAGCATCTATGGGCTCTGTGCGCCAACAAAAGAGGGTGCCCTTTTACCTAGCAATGACGTCCCATGGGCGGGACACATACATTTCGCACCGTTCCTTGTGTGTGACTCACATAAACCAGGGGATTTCCACTATGTACACGCAGTGGCCGCGCTTCGCAGCAAAATATTGTAGTCAGGCAAGATGGCGTCGGTCGGTCACCCCCAACTGTACTTTCTTTGCCGGTGAGGGGGTACTTGTAAATGGGGCGGATAGGTGGGTGCAGATTTTTTTACATATGCTTATCTACAGCTCCCAGAACCTAAGTTCTTCAAACTCAATGGTTCTTGAGTCTGGAATGCTGATTGGCAACACATTATCACTAACCGATGAAAACCGACGTCACTCCGCCCCGATCTACAGAAAATGGATTCAGCCACATGTATTAGTGCTGGCCATAGGTAAATAATCCAGGCGCATCCAAGACAACAGTTTCACTTACTAACGTTATTGAAAATGAAACTTGATAATAGTCTTACTGAGAAATAATGCATTTCTCAATATCTCAATTTCTCAATGATGCATTTCTCAATAAAATGTATCAAGTACGAAAAGAGTAGGGTTCTATGCATTCCATCATAAACTAAGGCTTCTCACAGACCATTACATGGCTGTAATTTTCTGTTATAAGAAAAAAAATTCAGTGTTATACAACTTTATTTGGAGCTGATTCTCAGATATTTGAATAAATCTTTGGAACATTTCCGAAGAAGTTTAGGAGAGAATTTGAAGATTATAGCTCCTTGACACCAACTTTTAAGCAGAATCTGTAGTGATTGCACACGCAGAGAAATTCCATATGAAATTTGGATATTCTACTATCGAATGAAACCCAATCTTATTTGCTCTTACATTGTAAAACCTCTTGCCAAGTTTGCCCAGTTTGTCCTGATTGACAGCGATGACTTCATGGTTCAGGAGAATCTCTTTCATCTGGGGATCCATCTTGCGCAGGTCGCTTGACATGATCAGTTGCGACGACATGATGGACCACAGCGCCATTTGAGCCTGCGCCTGGGCGAAGCTCAGTTGGAAGTCTCCGACTACCAACTACGAGATGAAAAATGCCAAATTATTCATCAACTACAAGATTAAATACGTAACTTTTCATCAACTACAAGACAAATTCAAACTGATCATTGAATGCATTGTAAAACTATTTAGAGTCGGTGTCATGGTATCAACAATTCTTTTTAAGTTTACACGGTTAAGAATTATAAAAAGAACTCATTGGAGAGAGCAAATCACTTGTGGTAAATGACTTTTTGAAAATAGATAAGAAATATGGCAAAACATTTTACCATCAAGTAAAAAAATTAGGGGGAAAAAAAGGAACAATGATTCTTCAAAACTATCCTGCGATCTAAATATAGAATTTTTGTACTTTGACTTTCCTAGTGTTATTCATAACCACAATTGAAACATCAACCTCAGAATCTGTTTGGATGAGAAAGTGAAAGAAAAGTCCAAGCTAATACAGGTCTCTCTCAAAGACGGTTATCTCTGTAGGAGAACTGCAACCGCATATTTTACGCAATCAAGCATGCATGCGCAGTGTTGAAAATGTTTCAAACACGCTGGCTTGTTGCTCGAAATGTGTTCAAAATACGATGCCGATGCACGTTATGCAAGTTGACGCTCAAAATGCCGATGCACATGGCTGGTCTGTAGGAAATGACGTCATTTGAGAGAGACCTATTTCTCATTACGTACAAAATCCATGTCAATGAATGAGCCGGGCCCGTTGACCAAGTAGAACTCATCTTGTTTGGAGACGTACCAATCCAACACTTGGAGCATTTGCTCCCACGAGTCTTGGATGTCTATGTAATTCCTCATGGTGTTGCAATGGGCAGCAATGTCAGTGTAATTTGGCTGGGTACAAGAATTAAAAAAATGAATTACTGCACACATGCATGAGCTTCAAAAGATCCAATTTCTTTCAGTGCCAAAGTCGTACATGTACGAGATATCAAGAAATATTAAAGGCTTAAAGATCTTTCACAAGTGGGTGTTATATTCTAAAACCAGAAATCTTAAAAAAAAACGATTAACTACTCACATTTGGTTGATAAACTCCCCACTCACACGAAAAGACAAATGGACGCCCGGTGGCGTTGAGAGCCAGAGTCATGTTTTTGTACCCTAGAAAAAAAAAAGACATATATATACAATTATTTTGGTTGACAAAAACCAGTAATAAAAGAGTATAACTTTTCCAATGTTCAAATTGCATGTTGTATTTGATGGACGAGTTTAAGTACGTTAAATAGTAAAATTGACGTTGTTGACGCTTAGATTTTTCTCTGCCAAAAAAACAAAAAAACACTCTCAATCAAATTTTGTTTTAAAGTGTAAAATGTTCAGAGTTTATTTTGTAATAAATTGATGAACATACTAAGAGGGAAATATTTTTCTTATACCCTCGGGGAACAACTTAGGGCCCAGACGGTGACACCCATCCATCTTGACATAGTCCACGCCCCACTCAGCATACGTCTTGGCGTCGGTCTCAATGTGACCCCAGATGCCAGGGTAGCCGTCGCAGGTCTCGGTGCCCATGTCCTGGTAAACACCGAGCTTCAATCCTTTGGCATGGACCTGTTAAAAATCAAGATGCTGGGTATAAGTTACTTTTAGGACTCGTCTGTGTTTTTGAACTCACCTCAAGTAACAGCTCTGGCGAAGGCCATTTTCTTTCTGATCCATGTCTCTGAAGGATTTATTTTAAAAGGAAAGTAAAGTCTGAGAACCATTTGGTTGACAAATGACGCATGCGCAGCAGCCCGCTTCCATAAACATAACAACAGCGAAAAACCAGCGGGGTCCTAAAAGTAACTAATACCATAAAGCGCATCCAAATTACTTGGCTAAGTTGGCCATGATGGCCAGCAATAACGTATGTACCTATGGAAGCGAACGATTGAACTTCCCAAAGATATGTGAGTTATTGCTGCCAGTAATAAAATTACTCATAAGGAGCTTGTTGATGCAGATTCTTACATAATCTGCCAAGTTCTTGATCCCACTGGGGAACCTCTGGGGGTCAGCCTGCAAAAGCCCCTGTGCATCCCTTTCCTTAGACATCCAGCAATCGTCCAAGTTGATGTACTCATAACCAGCATCCTTGTAACCCCCCACTGCTACAATGTCGGCCATCTGGATGAAAAGCTCCTCCCTGAAAAAATGAAATAAAATAATCAAGTACCTCTGTTTAACAGATATTAGTTCGGACAAAAAAATATCAACTGGTGCAGGATTTGAACATGAAACTTCCATACTCTACCAACTGAGCTACCACTGCAGCCCTATGACGGTGGCCACCAAAATTGTCAACAGCCTTGTTCAAGGTAATAAATATGTTTGGTGCTTAGGCCTATATAGTGCTTTCTGAAGTCTCAAAGCACTTTACAATTATTATTACCACTGTTCAACAGGCCATGGGACCAATTTTCTGCAGCTGACATCAGTGCATTCTGGTCTCCACCTTCACAGGTACCCATTTACACTCCTGGGTGGAGAGAGGCAATTGTAGTAAGGTGTCTTGCCCAAGGACATAAGCACCACAGTCCCTGTCAGGATTTGAACCCACATACCATAGTACATGGGTCAAACACCGTTACCATTGGACACCATCGTTCTAGTGTACTCTGAAGTTTTAAAACTCCAAGTGAAAAATATGTTAAAACATATAAGCTAGATGAAATGTTTACCAGCATTTTTGAAAAATCGTAAATTGTCAACTACAAATTCCCGTCCAGCTTGAACAAGAGCCTTGTTTTCTTTTTCGGTACTGGCACTATTATTTTTTATTAAACTATACAAGCTTTTCTTTTCTGTACCTGATGCAATTATCCGGGTCGTTAACACAGTCCACATTACAGCGGAATCTCTCCCACGGATTCCATCCCATAGGAGGGGTCCGTGCCAAACCGTTGTCCAAACTATACACAGCTGGCATCACCAGGGAAACACTCACAAGCAGAAGTATGGTCCTCATTGTTTCAATCCAATGACTGTAGGCCTATTAATATTTATAAAAACAAATAAATAAGAACACAAGGTTTTAAATTAATCAGTCAAAATTCAAATAAATCACAGGCTTATCAGTCACATTGCCTGAACCTCGAGCCGGAAAGATTCCAATATCTGGCCATCACTAATTTTTCCCCTTCAGTGACCTATCAGCCATCAGAAAGTGATAATATGTCTTTAAAAAAAGTCAAATTTAGTACTATAGTAGGGAAAATATTTACTGAGCTAGCTGAGAAAACACTGTGCAGAAAATTTCAGACCAGTCTAAATCGTAGCCGTAGGGTTTGTGCACAGAGTGACAAGTGATCTAGATAGGGCCCATGGGCATCTTTCCCAAACATTTACTTTCACTTTCAGTCACGATTTCCGTTTTGGAAGATGCAAATCTCGCCTCAGCTTTCTGCAGATGCATATTCCTCAGCCCAATTTTTGTAAGTTACTAATACTAGGCCCTAATATTTAAAATTACAATCATACAAACCTATCAAAAGTTGCATGTGCGCCCACTTCCCACGAGACGGTGTGGCATATGATGTATTATAGATCTAGACTCTGACTGCGATCGATAAAGACGGTGTTGCCTACTAAACTATTTCGCGGCGGGTGGAGTAGTTTTGCAGGTTGTTTTTGGAGGTCAACATTTTGCATGGAACCAGATCAAGACTGACCACGTGTTGGATCACGTGATCGGCTTTTGTTGTATCATGTGATAACGCCGCAGAGATGTTTTTGGGTCATATAATTATTAGATGCTGTTTTTTATATTGTTAATAAAACATTTTTAAATTTTGAAAAAAAACCTTCGTAATTCTTTCAATTAATAGTGTTTTGACATCAATATGGAATCTATCACACACGTACATGACAAAACGGCAATAAAGAACAACCAATATTGATGTTTCTCCACATCTTTATTCCCTTTAACGTGTGTTGATGGCACATCGGTTCTAAAGAGTTAGAAAAGTTATTTTTACATCTGTGGTTTTTAAAACCGTCCACTGCCATCTCGGCAGGGATTTCATTTAAATTCTCACTTCAGTTTAATTTTTGCATTGCTAGTTTAACTGGCAACATAATAGCAAGCTTTAAAATGTGAATTTATCTCCATCAGCATTTATTTAGAGTTTCACAATTTCCATCATGATTTCAAGTAATACATTAACAAGCTGTATACAATGACGATAGCTTACAAACTGAAGAAAAGATCAATTATAGAAATGATTGAAATACAAATCTTAATACAATACAAAACTCTGAAAGACTTCTGATCTCTGTTAACTTTAAATTTAACAAAATGACAATTTTAACGCTAAAACTTCCTTCTAAATTGGCCTGTAAATGTAATTGACAAAAAAACCTTACATCTATAGATAAAACCATTACAAATCCGTAAACTACCATAACGTATATCACATATTTTTTTTTACTAATACATCTATTCGTTTTACTTCTGTTATCGGAGTATTCCTTTCATTTGAGATGTTCATATAATTATGTATAATTAAAGTTCAACAAAGGCTTATAAATACACATATGAAAATGATTTCATCAGGCAAAATACACAAACATGGCTGAAAAAATATGCACAAATGTGATGTCAGATTATAACAACTACAAATGTACTTGAAAGATACATTATATGTCTCTTTCTGCATAAGAAATATCAGTGGCCATTGTTATCGACTTTATTCACGAGATTTATGATCGTTTTTTTTCCCCTGAATTTTTAGTGATTTTTATCGCGCGATAATGTCGCGTATTTATATACACGCACAAATCAATGGGCGCTTTTACATTTACGCGACAAAATCGTGCGACTTATCACGCTAATTTCAAAAATCATGCAACATATCGCGCATTTGTTGCACGTGTGCAACATCGCCATGCAACGTGTGACAAAATCAAATATGTGTAAATAAGACTTGTAAACTGTTGAATCGGATGGTGCCAGACTATTTATGTGTTCCAAGCCCCACTTTCATTTTTTTTTTTTAATGTGGCTTCATTAGCATATAATTATTCACAAATTTAAAATTATTCATCAGAGCAGCCTGGTATTAATTTGTAATAACTTTATTCCATTACTTTTGTTTCTATTTGCAAGTTCCAAAAATGAAAATGTTACCTCGCTTTCAATTTAATATGGCCGACTCATGAATAAAGCCTATGGAAAAAAACTCTTCCCATGTAAAATGGTATGGATGTAATCCGCTAGAACAACACAGTTGTAATCAAAACAGTTTGCAAGCATAGAGCTACATTAAATTACTAGAGCGCTAACTCTTTATACTTGCGCACGGAGACGCTTTGAAGCCGCTCTGGGCACAGACATTTTGAATTTATGTGCGTGTTTGTAGAACACAATCAAAATAGATGGATTGAATTACAAAAGTGTACTCTAAATGCAACGCGCAAGAAGAAGATATGCAAACAACTTAAGAGCGTCATGACAGCTTCAAAAACGTCACGGCGAAAAGCATCTGCAGCGGAGGGTCGCGCACACGTTGCACTGTTTGGATAGAGCAAAATGAAACGCTCATTTGCTGATCATGTGTTTTGGGTTTGGGCGTATCGGCTTCCATGACGCACCGATAAGGAATACAAACGCAGATATGCAAATAGCCGTACAAAAGCCGTACAAAATTTCGAATTTCCATAGGTTTGTGCACAAACATGGATCCGCCCATTTACTTTGTACATCGAGTTAGCGCCCTAGTAATTTAATATAGCTCTATGGTTGCAAGTCAATCGCAAGTCAATCGCAAGTCAATCACAAGTCAATCACAAGTCAATCACAAGTCAATCACAAGTCAATCACAAGTCCTCCAGTCCCAAGTCAACTCACAAGCTATTTTAATGAGCTGTGACATCGTTAACTAGTGACTGAAGAAATTACAATGCTAATAGACTTTAAAACCTTTCTTCTTGCTTGGTACTGCCTTAAACATCCTGACCCCGCTCGGGTTGACTTTGAGGCTCAGTGGCTTGTCCTTCACGAAAGTCCCCAGATCTTTGTGGTTGATCACGTCACGGACCGCATACGGCAGCTTGGGGTATCCCAACATCGTCATGGTTACCGTGAAGTTGTGCGGCATGTCGGTGGCCTTGCTAAAAATGACCGCAGCAAAGCAGTCGTTGTCCAGCTCTTTGGCCCATACCTCATAGGGGGATTTCTGTGAAAAAAAAAGAACTGGCGCTAGTGTGGGACAGACAACAGTAGCAGTTTGCTCTCAGAGACGTTTTCATAATTTTGGAATAGCATTTGTTTTATAGTGAAGAACCTCACTTCTTAGTGATAATAGGTCTATAGTGAAGAACCTCACTTCTTTGTGATAATAGGTCTATAGTGAAGAACCTCACTTCTTTGTGATAATAGGTCTACAGTGAAGAACCTCACTTTTTAGTGATAATAGGTCTATAGTGAAGAACCTCACTTCTTTGTGATAATAGGTCTATAGTGAAGAACCTCACTTCTTTGTGATAATAGGTCTACAGTGAAGAACCTCACTTCTTTGTGATAATAGGTCCTATAGTGAAGAACCTCACTTCTTTGTGACAATAGGTCTACAGTGAAGAACCTCACTTCTTAGTGATAATAGGTCTATAGTGAAGAACCTCACTTCTTAGTGATAATAGGTCTATAGTGAAGAACCTCACTTCTTTGTGATAATAGGTCCTATAGTGAAGAACCTCACTTCTTAGTGATAATAGGTCTATAGTGAAGAACCTCACTTCTTAGTGATAATAGGTCTATAGTGAAGAACCTCACTTCTTAGTGATAATAGGTCTATAGTGAAGAACCTCACTCCTTAGTAATAGGTCTATAGTGAAGAACCTCACTTCTTAGTGATAATAGGTCACTGGCTTATGTTTTGTGTCCTTGAGCAAGATACTTCACCCTTAGCTGCCTCTCTCCCATCCAGGAGTATAATTAGGTTCCAGAATTAACTTGGAAGCGATTCAAACAAAAGTCATTCAGTCACAGGTCGAAACAATTTTACACTGAGCTCAGTCAAAGATAAACATCAAAATCCTGGTATGAAAAGGGCCCAGGCCTTTAAAGGGAAAATCGCCTCATGAGGTGATTTCCAACGATCAGCCAATTGACTGATTTTTGGAAATACAGAGTGCTACTGATGAAATTGTGTTTTGGGATCAAAGGTTGTGCATGGTTTTCCACTGTTTTCTCAAAAAAAGTGTAATATCCACTGAGCTGAAATTTCAACAGGTTAGGTTTTGAGCAATCTTCTTTGGATTTGGAGTGGTGTTATTATTGGAGACGAACAAAATGCATGGCTGAGGCTATTATTGGTTTGGGACAGACTTGACTTACACTGTAAATCATGAGGCCCATCTTGCCCAGTTTGTCCTGATTGATGGCGATGACCTCACGGTTCAGGAGAATCTCCTTCATCTTGGGATCCATCTTGCGCAGGTCGCTGGACATGAGGAGGGCCGACGACATGATGGACCAGAGCGCGAACTGCGACTGGGCTTGCTCAAAGCTCAGTGCAAAGTCTCCGACTACGATCTGTTGGAATGAAAGAATATCACAAGGCACTGTTATGATTTTATGGTTATTAACATGCAAGTGTCAGCAATATAAGAACAAAGGCAATCTAATCTTGAAAGGATTATCTGTAAACATCTCATTAATCACATGTATAGAGGGGGATAATCTCACCTACACAACACGGTTTCTTGCCTAAAAGATCTTGCGTTACTCAATTGACAACTCTTTATCATAGCTGGGCCAATGCTCTTGATGTTTCAAAACCGCCCCGCATTGATGCTATATTTCTTGATTGGTCAAAAGCTTTTGATCGTGTGAGTCACAAAGTTCTTTTGAATAAATTACATAAATACGGTATTTGTGGCTCAATGTTGCACTGGTTTAAGTCTTATCTTTCAAACAGATTGCAACGGGTTCAGTTTATGGGTTCATCATCTGACTGGGCTGCAGTTCATTCTGGCGTGCCACAGGGTGCTGTTCTTGCACCTATTCTTTTCAATATCTTTGCTTTTGATTTACCATTTTGCATTCAATCTAATCTCCGTCAGTATGCAGATGACACTGTCTTGTACAGAGTCATTCAAAATCAAGAGGATGAAGTGGCACTCCAGGATGACCTGCAGCACATAAACACTTGGTGTAATCTAAACTGTATGACTTTAAACCCAAATAAGTGTAAATTGATGACTGTGACCAGGTCTAGAAACCCTGCTAAACCACTGTTTAAATTTGCTGAAAACACTTTGGAAAATGTGGATAGTTACAAATACTTGGGTGTTATTATCTCCAGGGACTTAAGCTGGAAAACACATGTTAATAAAGTCACTTCCAAAGCCACTAGACTCAACGGATTTATTGGTAGAGTAGTTAAAACTAGAAACCCTAACATTCTGACTTCACTTTATCGCTCAATTAGCAGACCCATACTTGAATACGCAGCTCCAGTCTGGTGCCCTGTTCTTTCGACTCAGCAAAAAACGCTAGAGAAGGTACAGAGGCGATTCACCCGTTTTTGTTTGGGTCTGCCGAGAAGGGTTTTAATTGATTCTGTAAATGAAATTGAATATTCAGACAGGTGTGTCAAGCTGGGTCTGCCTCTTTTAATC